GGTATTACGAGTAGTAGTTCGTTTCCCACATGGTGCATGTTGCGGCGGTATAAAATGCCGTCTATGACAACGAACATGCGAAGCGAACTGTCTGTACAGCCTGTGTTCAGGCGGTCGATTAGCTCGCGTAGGGACGCGTCACGCCGTTGCTCACATCCCATGTTGCCGAAAGCAGAGAGCGAGGAAATACAGATGGACGCGTCGTCGGTTACTAGATCTGGAGCGTCAACGGGGTACCGAGAGAGGCAGTCGGCGTCTTGGTGTAAACGGCCAGACTTGTAAACCACTGTGTATGTGAATTCCTGGAGGCGCAGAGCCCAACGAGCAAGGCGCCCCGTTGGATCTTTGAGGGCTGAAAGCCAGCATAGAGCGTGATGGTCAGTGGTAACTGTGAAAGGCCGGCCATATAAATAGGGGCGGAATTTACCAACTGCCCATACAAGCGCCAGGCACTCGCGTTCCGTAATAGAGTAATTGCGTTCGGCAGGAGAAAGGAGCCGGCTGGCATACGCAAGAACTCGATCGTGACCGGATTGACGCTGGGCTAAAACCGCGCCAATACCGTAGCCACTAGCATCAGTGCGGACCTCGGTTGGAGCAGACGGGTCGAAGTGGGCGAGAATCGGTGGCGTGGTCAGAAGTGTTATGAGCTGGGAAAAGGCCGTGCCTTGATCAGGACCCCACTCAAATGGTACATCTTTCTTCAAAAGATCAGTGAGGGGGCGTGCGACCTCTGCGAAGTTTCTGACAAATCGTCGGAAATATGAGCATAGGCCCACAAAACTTCGAACGTCCTTGACACAAGTCGGTACAGGAAAATCCAGGACAGCTCGGACTTTGTCGGGATCGGGGCGGATGCCGGAGGAGTCAACGAGATGCCCTAGAATAGTAACTTGGCGATGCCCAAAATGGCATTTCGAGGAATTAAGTTGGAGCCCAGCCTCTCGAAATACTGAAAGAATTGAGGAAAGGCGCTCGAGGTGAGACTTAAAGGTTGGGGCAAACACAATCACGTCGTCCAGATAACACAGGCAGATAGACCATTTAAAGCTGCGCAAAAGCGTGTCCATCATCCGCTCGAACGTTGCCGGCGCATTGCACAAGCCAAACGGCATTACCTTGAATTGGTAGAGACCGTCAGGCGTTACAAAGGCGGTCTTCTCCCGGTCGAGGTCGTCCACGGCGATCTGCCAGTAACCGGAGCGTAAGTCTATCGAAGAAAAATAGGTTGCGCCATGAAGGCAGTCCAGGGCATCATCAATACGAGGAAGCGGGTAGACATCCCTTTTGGTGACCTTGTTTAAATGCCGATAGTCCACGCAGAAACGCCAGGTATTGTCCTTCTTTTTAACTAAGACTACAGGGGACGCCCACGGACTCGATGAGGGCTCTATGATGCCTTTTGTGAGCATCTTATTCACCTCCTGTTGGATAACTTGGCGTTCTGATGGTGACACTCGATAGGGACGCCTGTGAATTGGAGCTGCATCACCGGTATTAATGCGATGTTTGACTTGCGATGTTTGACTTATGGGCCTACCGTCAAAGTCAAATATGTCCGAATAGCTCGTGAGAAGATCAGTGAGGTCTTTGACCTGAGACGGCAAGAGGTCTGAGGCAATCATCTTAGTTACATTGTTGAGCCGTGTAGATTTGGCTGCGTCGGTGCTATGCGGGTTCGGCGAGGCGACTGTGGCCAGTTCACGTGACACTGATGAGATCTGGCACTCGTGTGACGGTGAAAGAGTGGCGAGAACAATGCCTTGTGGTAGGATTTGAGGGCTGAGTCCGAAGTTCAGAAGAGGAAGGCACGTCTTGTTCGCTGTGACAGTTAATATGGTGTACGGGGAGGAAACGTTGCGGGCCAATAAAACACCGGGAGAGGGAAAGACCACGTAATCCCCATCCGGAACACTGGGATACGGTTCAACTGTGACACAAGTTAGGGCTTGGGGTGGGAGGCGAACAAACTCAGCGCACGAAAGCTTGTTCTGTACCATCTTCGACTCTTCGGTGGCCGCAGGCAAGTCAAGTTGCACGACGCCGGCTGAGCAGTCAATTACAGCGGAGTGGTCGGACAAAAAATCGAGTCCAAGGATGACGTCATGTGGACAGTGAGCGAGAACATGGAATAGAACGGACGTCTGGCGGTCGGCGAATCTCACACGCGCGGTGCACATTCCGAGCACAGCCGGGGTCGCTCCACTAGCGACACGTACAAATAGGGACTCTGGCGGCGTAAGGACCTTGTTTAATCGTGCACGGAGGTCAGAGCTCAGAATTGAAATATGTGCGCCGGTGTCAATAAGGGCAGTAACAGGAAGGCCATCCACTTCTACATCAAGCAGGTTCTTGTCCGTAGTCAAGGTCAGCAGAGGGTTTTCAGGTCGGGAGTCCAATGCAGCGTCACCTCCGGGAGCTGCATTGCTCAGTTTTCCGAAGAAGGGCGTCCACTAGGGTGGGGCGACGAATAGCGGCGGTGCTGAGGTGACCTGGAGCGACGGTCATGCGGGGACGGCGAACGGCTGGACCGGCGGACTGGTGTCGCAGGAGTGCCATTGTACGGTCCATCGTCACGAGCGCTGTACTGCAGGGGCCGGTGGTTGTCGTCACGTCGATAGCCAGGAAACGACCGAGGTGGATACGTGCGGAAACGACAGTAGCGGGAGATGTGTCCTACACCATGACAATGAAAACATATAGGCTTGTCGTCCTGTGTCCTCCACTGAGCAGGATCACGATAGCGGCGGAATCTTTCTGGTGCAGGAGAAGGCGCTATGGTACTGACCCGAGGTTCCGTCAACGAACACACAGGCTGCAGCCCAACGTTTGCCAGCTCCTCTCTCACGACCTGTTGGATCAACGAGATCGTTGGTCGATCATCAGATGGGCGGGTCAGAAAAGACGGAGACGCGGCCTCGATTTCTCTACGAACGATGCGAACCACACTTTCGTTGTTATGTGGTTGACTGCATGGCGGCTGAAGGTCCTCGCAAGATGACGTAGCGGCCGTGTTCGGAAGTCGCAAGAAATTCTTGGCGACCCGGCGACTCTTCAGCTCTTCGAATCGGCGGCACTCTTTGATGATGTCATCAATGGTGGAACAGTCTTTGGAAACCAGTATGTTAAAAGCATCATCTGCAATGCCTTTAAGTAAATGGCTTACTTTGTCTTCCTCGGACATGTTGGGGTCGGCACGATGGCAAAGGGCGAGAACGTCAAGGATGTAGGTGACATATGATTCGGTCGTAGTTTGTGCCCGACCAGAGAGTTCTTTAGAAGCGGCCCGCTGGCGTCCGACGGCCTTACCAAACAGGTCACGAAGCTTCTGTTTGCAAGTATCCCAGCTGGTTATGTCCGCTTCATGAGCCTCGAACCACGCGCCAGCTGTTCCGCAGAGATAGAAGCCAACGTTGGCGAGCATCATCGTAGGGTCCCACCGGTACACTGCTGCAAACCGCTCGAACTTCGGAATCCAGTCGTCAACGTCAACATGGTCGGTGCCGCAGAAGTTGCCAGGGTCGCGCGGTTGCGTCAATACGACCGGCTGTACAGGCTGCGCCGGAGTCGCGGCTGAAACAGGAGCGGCAGAATTGGTTTCTGTTGCCATGGTCGGGCAGTCGAGAACACGTCCGCTTCGAAGTTCCGTCTTGCGTCGTACCCAGCGCCACCACCAAAATGTTGCGAATGTATTTACTACTTTAGAGTAGAAAAGTACTCCAGCAGTCAAGATGGCAGCCGTTGTGTATTTTCGAACAGCCCAAAAACGTCGTCGTCTTCTTCTTCGCACCGCCCGCATAGCTGCATAGCCGCGAACCCGCAACAATATATATATATATATATATATATATATATATATATATATATATATATATATATATATATATAAATTAGCGAAATGTAACCTAGCTCCTTCGAAGCCAATTGAGAATTGAGAATTGCCGAGACAGGGTCGGTGCGTTACGCTGCTGAATTGGAGGACGCTGGTTCTCAAGCACGGTAAGGTATACATTTAGATTGGCGTGGAAGGCGCACGTGCAGTTTAAATACCTGTCTACGTCGGTGAACTAGAGGCAGCCATGAATAACCTGAAGCCCCCCCCCCCCCCCCTCCCGCCGGTCTAGTGGCTAAGGTACTCGTCTGTTGAACCGCAGGTCACGGGATCGAATCCCGGCTTCGGCGGCTGCATTTTTCGATGAAGGCGGAAATGTTGTAAGCCCACGAGCTCAGATTTGTGTGCACGTTAAAGAACTTCAAGTGGTCCAAGTTTGCGGAGCCCTCCACTACGGCATATCTCATAATCATATGGTGGTTTTGGGACGTTAAACCCCACCTGTCAATGAAACCTGAAGTCCACTGCTATATGGACAACTTTGTAATGATCTGTGAGGTGACGGGACGTTAACTTTCACAATTTTGGTTTGGGTAAATCGCTTCTTCAGCGTCACTGTAACTGATGATCTTTTGTGCGATTGTGACTTTTGGCGGAGATTTACAGACAAACGACCTCGAGGTTACCGAGGTCGTTCCCTTGAAAGCCTATATATCATGAAGAGTGGTTCTCCTGTTCAAGTAAACTCATGCAGAGTCTTAAGTACAAGAGAAGTCCGGCCGTAACGACTACAGACCGAGGATTTGGGACTGTAGTTTATGATATTGGCTGCATTGCAATTTTCGATGCGATGTCCTTCCATAGCGCAAAACGTTGAACGTTGGTTCTGTCGCTGCCCTCTGCACCCAAGTTGTCATATACATCCTGCATTCTTTAAAGCGTCAAAGAGAGAAGTAAGACTTACAGCCCAGAAAAACAAAAGATGAGACACAGAGCGAAGCTTGTCCGGGCTCTTGATTCCTTCGGGCCGTGCTCCTGCAGCTCTTTTCGGAACGCGGTAAAAAAAAAAAAGTGAGGAACGGCTTGACATGAAGGAAGATGACTGTACCTCTCCGACTTGTTCCTTGTGGTTTGCTTTACCGGTTACCTCTCTTTCCGCAACTTGCAGGGCTTCCATGCCTCCATGCAGCTCCACAAGAGCATCTCTGGGCCGCGCAGCCTCACCGGCTACCGCGTGATGTGTCTTCCGATGTCTGCGGTCCTCGTCCTCTTCGGCGCAGTCCTCGTCGCGCCTACCGCTACTGCTGCGGCCCCCGGTGACACCACTTCGGAGCCGGCTTGCCCGGCGCCCAGGCGTGGCGACGATGGCGTCCTCCTGGAGTCTGACGCCGACGTCTTCCTGGGCGCGTTCGTGCAGGCGCACGAGCCAGCCAGGGACGCCCTGCTGGGCTGCGGCTTACCCCTGGCACAGGGGGTCGAGACCTTAGAGCTATTCAAGTGGGCCGTCGGCCTCCTCAACAGGGACCAGGGATTCGTCCCTGGCGTCAAAATTGGTGAGCTAGTGTTTTTTTTAAAGCGAAGCTTTTCAAGCCGTGGGTCGTGCGTCTGCAATGTATGTAGTAGTAGTAGTAGTAGTAGTAGTAGTAGTAGTAGTAGTAGTAGTAGTAGTAGTAGTAGTAGTAGTAGTAGTAGTAGTAGGGACGATTGTGGAGGGAAATAACAGACAAACGCTCCAATCCACATTTGTTAAACACGAAGAAGAAATCTACATTCAAAAGAAGGGAGTCTGTATTGGCTCTAGAGTGGCGCCTACCCTTTGTGAAATTTTTCTGAGCTTCGTGGACACAAAGTTGGCAGACAGCTTGGAAGAGATGGTCAGACATGTTTTCAGTTACGTCGACGATTATTTAGTGCTTTTAAATGCAGCTGATTATTTTCGAGATGCAACGAATATCTTGAAGACGTTTCGCAAGAACGGCAGTGGCCTAAACTTCTTGATCGAGATTATAAAAAAAGGAGTTCTTGAATTCCTGGATCTGGAGCTGGAAGTTTTACAAACTCATGTGTGTTGGCACTATACCATCCTCGTTCTTTGAAGATCTTACCTAACTTCTCCTCAAATTCTTCTAGAATAATGAAGCAGGATACACCATTTTTATGTGTTCATCCTGTAAAGCAGAATTCTTGTCAGGATAAGTTACAAGTAAGCTATAATGAACAAGTAGTTAGACATAAGCAAGGGGGTTACCCGGAGCTCAGCTCTAGCGTTCGAGAAGATGTACAACTGTCTTTAAACAAATGGAACACGGGCTGGGAATGAGGAACGCACCGTCAGAGAAAAAAAAAAATACACGGCCATACTGCATACTCAACGAGTTGCACACGGTTTAAAAAACGTCAGGGGTGTAGCCAAGAGGAGAGGAGAGGGGGCAATTCAAACCCCTTCCAAAATATTTTGTTAAGGCCCTCCCCCCCCCCCCCACACACACTTATTCAACGTATTTTTTTTCGTCACTTTGCACTGACATGATTTAAAATCTAAGCGCTGCTATCACAGTATCATTGCTGGGCGCTTTTACAATGAATAATGTCTGCATACAAAAAAAAGACATGTCGCAGTGTTTCTCAAGGCTTAGCACTCTGTGAGATTTTGGGCAGCAATCTCAGCCGCGAGTGTTTTAAGTTGGCTTGGCAACGGCGTAAATGCTCAAGTGGTGGTCATACTTGTACACGTTGGAACAGATCTTGCCGGAGTCGATCACTACGATAATTTTCAATAGGCAGAGGTTTATTTTAATAAACTAGCCAGATGTCAGTTTCAAGGGCCACGTTCAAGCATATTACAATGCAACACTTCGTATACCTGTACTAAGATATACTCAAGCCAGAGAATAACATTTCTATTGAACCTTCGCATGTTCTGCTTAAGTCTAAACACACACGCACATGCGCACACAGACGTACACGCACACGTGTGATTGAATATTTGGTTTATACACCTAACTCAGCTTGTATGCGAGTATAAAATATATTTATACATATTTTATTATGCCCTAACGTCTAAGGCACTCCGAAGTCTTGTATAGTGACGAAGATGCAACACAGGCAAAGGTGCATGCTAATCACAGCCTTGCAAAGGCCTACTAAAATACTCATCGTGTAACTTAAGCTCATAAATTAAAATATGGTGGTCATAAATCTAAAGCACAGTAATGAGAAATGCAGTGTGGGCAGCTGTAGTGAGCACAAGCTTTATTGTTCAGTACTGTGGGAAACAGCACATGAATAAGGAACATAAAGCGGAAAAAAATATACAACAAATTACATATATTGATTGGCTTCATCTGTTCATTTCTTTACATTGACATGACTATAGAAGGGCACACCGAGCAAGTTCTGCAACTAGTGACATGAATGACGACAAGAAATGCACAGAATGAAGAAACATGGGTTGGTGTGTTATCACGTAAAATTGCGAGCAATATACATAGTAACCATAGTTTTTTTTACTAGAAACAAAAGAAACTCTGTGTGAACAATGTCTTATGCCGCAAACAGACACATTACATAGCGGAATACAGTTGATTATAATTTTCAATTCATACAAAGACTATCCTATGCATTACATGTCGCATTATATGCCTCATATGTTACCGAAAATTTGCGAGAATTGCCACATGCAAATTTGGGTTGTTGCATTGCCGTTCACATCTTTTATATCCGCTAACAACGTCTGCAAGTGAGAGTGCCACTGAAAAGCAAGGAGTAGGGAACGGCAGAGAAAGGAATCACTCTGCCATGCTGTCAAAGTGATTTTCTCGTACAGTTGAACTTGCTTCCTTACAACTGGACGAAAAGTAGTGCATAGTGATTTTACCAAAAACGTCTTTTTTACTACCCGCCAGAGTGGTCGAGTGGTTATGGTGCTTCATTGCTGACCCGAAGGTGGCGAGATCGAATCCCTGTCGTATTTTCGATGTAGGCGATAATGCTTGAGGCCCGTGCTCCTCGATTTAGGTGCATGTTCATGAACCAAAGTGGCAAAATTTTCTGAGCACCCACTACGGCGTCTCTCGTAGTCATATTGTGGTTTTTGGATGTTAAACTTCATGAATTGATCACTAACAACTATGTTTTACTATTGTTCAGAACATCTCAATCCAAGATTAACTTCAGTTAACTTTCATCTTTGATTGAGCTGGCGCCTACGGTTGACATTGCACACAGATTCGGCTGAAGCCGTCTACGTTCCCGTTAAAAAACAGAGCCAATGTCTTCCGAGCGTGTTCAAGCGATGCCAAACGATCTTTCATTTGTTGTCGTAGCTCTCAGGTACAACTTTAGGCATCTCAGCAATGAAAACAACCTTTCTGCTTCAGCTGTGCTCACCGGCAGAGTTGCCGGAATCTTTAGAAGATGGTGCACGTTTTGGAAAAATACCTCTGGGCAATGGGCAACCGCTTGCATCGCAGACATTAACAGCATTTCTTGCTTCTCTCACTTTCATTTCCCAGCCTATACTGCCAAGTGTCCTTGCTATGCTGAAGTTGAGATGATGCTCGAGTACACGTCGGCAAACTTCTCGGCATTGGGAATAGTGGCAGATTCGGGAATATTCTGCGGCAGAAGCGCAGAAAGCATCTTCAAAGTGCACTGATGCCTTTTAAAGCGTTCATTGAAGTGGTCTGATAAATAGTCCAGAAAAGACTAGAAATACTGAAAGCCCAAAGTAATCTTCCACGCCAGCCACTGGCATGTTACTTCTATGAAGCTGCCTGCCTGCGATAAGCGGCATTCTCATTTTCCCCAGTTGTCAAGTGTGCACTGGGAGCAGCGTTGTTTTTCGGGAAATAATCATCAAGCGTTATACCGTACGGTATTTTGGCGCGACCATTGAGTCTCGTAGAAGGGCGCTGATCGACCGAGGACACGAACTACCAAGCAATGCGTGTAGGCAGCGTATTTCAAGGGGGTGACTTCGCATTGCTAGGAAGGAACGTGCGCAGCAATGTTCGGGCAGTGACCCTATATGCAAGAAACGAGAACTTAAGCGACAATACATGTCGGCTGGTAAAGTTCCGCCTCAAAGGGACCCACAACTGGCAAGAACGAGTGGTTAGATTCCGGTGGAAAGGAAAAGAGTGTGAATTATGGTGACGGGTCACAGCATACTTTTTGTGATTTGAGTAGGATTTATATTTTTAAATCACGTTTAGAAGTGGCCAAAACTGACGTGTCGCGCCCCTAGTGCAAGAGCCATGAACCACAAATAGCAATTCCCAATAACTTTGCTGTGATTACTTGAAGAGCACTGAAATAAGGGCTTTAATTTTGAATATGTATGTTAGTTAATTTTCGTTTCTTTCTATGCATCTTGCAATGTAAAAGAAGTAGTGCACGAAAATCTGCGCTGCTTTCGTGACCTCTCCAGGGAAACAAGTGCAGTTGCCCAGGCGCATGGCTGCGCGGCGCTGCCAGAGTAGCTCGATTCCTGTCGTGTTGAAAGAAGCACGCGAGCTTGTGAATGCGATCGCTGTGACACGTGAAATGCCATCAACCTACTGCTCTATGAAAAATTGATATCAGTCATGCGTGCTGGTGGTGGTGGTGATGGTGGTGTCCGTTGGATTCGTTGCTACCGCTGTCATCCATCGAAGGATGTCGCTATATGGCACTACTTGATAGGTGTTCGAATTTCATACACACATGCGAGGCGAAATTCGTTCTTTTAACCCGCTCAAGTTGTCAAGCGATGACATAACGAAGCCGTCCAACTAAGGCCGCACGTGAAGTACCATGCGTGAATTATCGATCACGTCTAAACGCGTTATTTCGTTTTCGAAGACTTGGCTTAGTTCGACTTAGCTCAAGTCGGAAAAACAACCTGTGCACGGCCAAAAGTACTTGCATAAGAAGCCCCGGGAAAGTGGTGCAACTCCTATTGAAATAATTTAGCACACTAGAAAGCAGTGGTCGTGGAACTGCAGCTTGACAAACACAATATTATCTCTACTTAGGATTTCACTTTTCTTTACTGCTGGCATTACACTGGAGTATAATCCTTATCGCCACCACATCCACTGTTTGCAGCATGTCTCCTTAAAGCTTCATAATGGCTGCAAATCTAAACATACTGATTATAATTGTTCTACGGCGTTTTCCGCGTTACCGTTCCGTGATTACAAGCTCAGACCGGTAAGCTTTTCGTTGCACTCAAGAAAACGGGTACCATAAATATTGCTTGTGGGTCCCTTTAAACATTAGCACTCGTTTTTTGCTTGGCGGAAAGATTCGTGGGTATACATTTACTCCGCTTCCCTTCAAGTGCTGGTAAGGTCGCGCTCGCCCAGTATCTTACTCTATGTGCGAGGTGTCTCACGTTTGTGATTGCGCCCATACGGAAGGCTGGTTAGTTTTTGTCGCGTTGTGATAAAATACCACAAACATGCGTGAATGTGAAGGAGGTGATGGCAGTGGTGAAATTCCAGCGACTCTCATCAGAATGCCCGTAACAGACAACCAACAGGCATGGACATTGCACAGTAAAGCGTAAGTAAACTCATGTTGCATGCGCTGGCAGTTCTCGCTAGAGTTCACGCGTTCTGAGAAACGGCTTATGGTGCGCTATGCTCTGAGCAACTCTTCTGTTCACTCCTTGATCACAGGTGAACTGATCACTGAAGACTTTGTGTGGTTCGAGGCTACTCCTGTTCACGCTGGTTTAAGTGCTGGAAACATGAATGCACGTATATTGCAAGGTGAAATATTTTGTGTAGTTCTGAATCTCTTCCGGTAAAAGGAAAGTGGGCTGCACGCTTGCGAACAACGTAAGACACTATGCCAGAACGCCATCGTTTCAGAAAGCTGAGTGAAGAAAGGTACAAAAAAAAAAAAACTCGAACATATCGCGTCTTTTGAGCGTATTTAGGTGTTTTAGTGCATAAAAGCAGCGATCAAGCTAGTTTTATGCGAGCAGGTATAGGCCGGTCGCACGTGCACTTTTGATTGAGGCTAAGTAAACATTTTTCAATGATTACCTTGCCCTCGCAGATTGCACGATAAAACCTGTACGATCGGAGTACTTCATTGCTATCAATAGTCACAGTGCAACTGAAAGTCTGCCCGAAAACTAACGTGTGCAAAATTGTGTTGCCAGTGTACAGCATATTTTACAAGAAAAATTACTTATTGCGTATCGCAAACATGCTTGGATGCACGCAGTAAAATAAAAAAATGTTGACTAAAGCTACCACTGCATCAGGGCGGCTTGACAAATAGAGATTAACACAAGAATCATCCCCATAGGCATGAAGTCACAGATATCGGCAGTTAGAAATTCGCTCAGCAAAATAAACGAAACCAAAATAAAATATGAAAGAACAAAAACATGCTATGTATGCCTCTGATTCCTCGTTGTAAGCGGAACCGTCCTTGAGCTGTCAAACGCACTTCACCACGACGAGGACTACGCAATCCATGCTTAATGAAGATCAACGGTTAACGGGGTCTTCTTCGATCGGGTGGGTAATAGTGATAATGCGTTTTCGAAGACTAGTCCAATCAATGGTGCGGCGAGAGTACGTTGCTCCAAACGGTCACTGTACCTGTCGTTTACTGTATTTAGAGTACTTCTTACACAACTGCCCCGCCGTGTGGTGTAGTGGCTAAGGTACTTGGCTGCTGACCCACAGGTCGCAGGATCGAATCCCGGCTGCGGCGGCTGCATTTCCGATGGAGGCGAAAATGCTGTAGGCCAGTGTGCTCAGATTTCGGTGCACGTTAAAGAACCCCAGGTGGAATTTCTCGAGCACTCCACTACTTTAAACCCCACATATCAATCAATCATCCTTACAGTAACTTTGCTCACTCTTTTCACAACCATACGCGTGGGGAGAGGGGGAATCTCAAGACTTGATATACATGTGCAGCATCTGTTTAAACTACCGCCGATAGTGACGTCACAGAGAAAAGCTGATGCTCGTGCGCCCCCTACCCATTGCCCCCCCCCTCCCGAAAAAAAATTTCTGGCTACGCCCCTAAAAAACATGGCCAAATGATACGGCGTTGTTTTTTCATTTTCTCATAAGTATGTGTCCCTTTTTGCTTAAGATCAAAAAAGCATTGCTAAGCATAGCAAAAGCCATGATTATTTTTATTGCACCGCTTTTCCTTTTGCGTAAAATAAACTTCAACTTTAATGAAAAGTGTTCTGGGCAACTGTGGTATAAACCACATCTTCTGATATACAGAATGTGTAGAGGCCATTGTATATCATATTCCCTTATCATGTGGTAGAACTTAAATTGGCCAAAGCGGAAGATGTATCAGCGTTCGCCTGCGAGAACATTAACGCTCATTATCGGAGTCAAAACCGTACTCTCTCGCTGCTCATTGTCGCAAATGCGGCTGCGTACCCTTATTCAATGACACGATACTGTCGCGTCATAGAAATCAGCTAGCCAGAGAAGCGATTGAAGCTTTCCACATCCGAAGAAAAAACTATAAGTGTGTCTGCGTGCTGTCAATTGCGCTCAGCGACGCAGAATTCAGCTATCTGTCTAACATCTGCAGATTATACCAATGTTATATTTTTTCCCTTGCTTGCGGCGTGCTTGATTGTTTTTGCTGTTTGGTGTTTTTGAATTTTCTGTTAAGTTGCACTTCACCTATATATAATCTGTTTCTTTCCCAAATAAATGTTAGTTGCGAGTCAGCGCTTGTCTGTGTTCTTTCCTCTGTCCTCTTGCCGTGTGCGCTGTCCAGCCAAGGTGAACCCATACTGACTCGCTCAAGCTCCCATTCTTATGGAATACGTGCCCAGTGTAAAAATTTGCGAGATAGTGTTTTTTTTTTTTTTTAGGAGTGAAGCTCCTTAAGCCATGGGTCGTGCGTCTGCGATGTATGTAGTAGTAGTCGTCGTCGTCGTCGTCGTCGTAGTAGTAGTAGTAGTAGTAGTAGTAGTAGTAGTAGTAGTAGTAGTAGTAGTAGTAGTAGTAGTAGTAGTAGTAGTAGTAGGCGGAGGAGGAGGAGGTAGCCACCTCCACGGCCGGACAATATAAAGGAGCGGCACGTGTGCACCCTTTTGAATTGAGGAGGAAACCCACGCACAGTAATCATGAATAAAAAGATAATTATTTCTGATGAAATAACATATAGAGACAAGTATCGGTGACCTAATTTCTAATAAAATTGGCCTTGAATTTGATTATTACTAAAAAACAAGCAACAGAAGGACACACTTCAAACACCATCTGACCAGAAAAGGTTGGCACGTTAAAGTCACTGGGCGTAAGCTCCATGGTTTTAGCAAGGTTTGGCGAGAGTTGGGCCGCACTGCCATGAACTAGCGGTGGTGAAAGATGGGAACTAGACACGAAGCGCAGGCCGTAAGAAAGTGTGCGCCTGCCGCTTTTCTAGTCTGACCGTGCCATCTCTCGTTTAGTCCTTGGAATGCCCGCTGGATGGCGGTGCCTCTATATGATGAATATATGAGGAAAAGGTGCGAGACGGTGGTGGTGCTTTGAGTGTTCACTAGATGGACAAACGGACGGACGGATGCATGTACAGATAGACGCATGGACGAATGCACGGACGAATGCACGCGTGGACGGACGGATGCGCGCACGGATGGACGGGGCACGGGTGGATGCACGAATGGACACATGAATGGATGCACAGACATGCACGGACGGGCACACAGATGGAAGGATGGACGGGTGGAAGCAAGAATGAATGAATGGATGGAAGCACGGGCGGACCGATGGACGCTTCACTTCACTCATCATCATGCACTCCATGGATATGCTGTGATTCTTTATATTATTAAGGACTCTTCGAATGACTAATAAGCGTATTTCTTATGCCTTCTCTAAACTCTTCGCAACATCGATGTTCATGACGAACCAGAAAACCATTGATTGGCTTTTGCTCGTAGCTCCTGTATTGTTCTCTATGCAAAGCGCTGCCTTTTCAGTATAAGAACTTATTACTTTCGCTTGAACCCTTTCGCTTGTTGATTACCCTCATACAATCGTGTCCGCGAGATATAGTTAGGCAAATAAATAAATAAATTTGTCAAAGAATTCAAAGCTTATGGGAAGTATCTTTTGTATCTTTCGACACCCTTCCGTATAAAAGCTGCAACGAGTTTTTCTTGTATAGTTACTGCGTAAGTTAATCATGACAAATAGTGGTTTACTGTAGACCATCGGGAGCATTGCCAAAAACACTGCTCAGTGTTGCACATCATTCCCTGTTGTTACGAGGCAGACAAGTCTGTTCAACATGCGCTATCACAGCGCAAAGCACGTTTAAAGCTATTGGATATGAGAGGCTTCAGAGCTCCCTACGGGTAAGATGACGTATCTCTTATTGAAAACTTTTTCGGGAATATAAATGCTAATTTATAAATGTTGAGGACTTCTGGGAAACACTACCGACATTCATAATGGCCGTCTTTTTGTACCAAGGCAAGAGAACAGCACAGTGTACTCTGCGTACATATTTATTGTACATCACAACTGGCAAATGTTTGTTGTTTCTTGTGTATCATGCGGTGAGTTGTTCTCTTTGCAAGAATGCGTTATTATGCAAGTATACTGCATGTCTATATTACTAGCAAATGACTAGCACACACTGCGATTGCGACTTGTCCAGGCATGCGAGTATTCGACTCCTGCGGCCACAAGGCCAGGGCCTACCTACAATTGGATGCTCTCCTGCCTGTCCTGCGAGGAAACTCTGAGACGTGCGTCAGCACCGCCAACAGTTCCAGAGTTATAGGTGAGTCGGCACGAAAAGCCACAAGAGCTCTCCTGCAGTGCCTGAAGGCGACAGTGACACTCTGTGTTGTGTGTGTGTTGTGAAATGTGCCCCTTCTTTTCTCTCTCGCTCTTTTTACTCCCTTAATCCCCCTCCCCAGATGTAGGGTTGCAAACTGGACATAATCTAGCTAACTTGCTTATCTTCCTTATATTACTACTGTCCCCCCTCATTGTTGAGTTCACTGGATTCGAATTTGCAGGTGTTAGTGTGTATTCACTCGGTCAGAAGGGCGACTTCACTGGATTAAAGCAATTTCGATGCATGTACACGATAACCTAGACCTGTAACGCAATACAGTGGTTCAAATAAGGTTGACTCGAGAATCCCAATGCGGTCAAAATTTATGCCGAGCCCCACATCATAGGTCGTAGGTTGTAGTCGCACATTGGTCTCTGAATTCAACTACAATGCATAACCTGCCCATCAGTAATAAATAAAAGAGCTGCAGGAGTTCCTAAACTGTGTTTCTTTTTTTTTTGCTTATCATTTACCAGGCACCTTGATGACAAGCACCCTGAGAAATGAAGAGCTGATTGCCGGCCTTCTTAGGGACCACGACGTGCCGACCATCCCACTGGAAAGCAGTGCCATAGCGCCACCCGAGTACCTGGCCAAGGTCAGTGCGCACTGGAGTTTCTCGATGTCCTGAGCAAGATGCCCTGTTTCGTTTCTCTCAAGTCAAGCAGTTGCACTCCACACTTTTGATACACATACACTGCAAGTAGCGATGCTGTGTACGGTTAAAGGGGTTTTGACAGTCACCCTACAATTGACGCTTGTCGGCGAAAACGAAAGTAAAGGGTCAAATATGCTTTGCACGTGTGAAAACTGGACTGTAAGAGATTATTTCAGTTCAAAATAAGCCGTAGATGTAATCGGCTGTAAACTCCTCCCACCACTGGCGACCGCCATTTTGTCATGGCATGTGTCACAAGCCAAAAAAGCAGTGACGCAGTCTGCTACCAAACAGCCCCTTCCGCCTGGGTAAGTGTTGCCAGCGCTGCTCGCCGTGTGGTCTGCATGTGTTAGTGGGCTGCAACTGTTGCGGTGTGTTACCATTACCATCACCATATGCGGCGACGACGTCGTGTATACGTTGAGTATTTTGACTTCGATTCCATCACCTCCAGTTCAAGCAAAGAAAGCGTTGAAGACTATGTGAACCAGAATGCCAATGACCTGGCCATTGTGGCAGACGTTCTAGACTGTTTTCCGCATGATAGACAGTTCTATTTTATGCGTGTCAGGTTGAAAAGCGAGGTTGGGATACGGCCCCGCCGTGGTGATCTAGTGACCAAGGTACTCGGCTGCTGACCCGCAGGTCGCGGGATCGAATCCCGGCCGCAGTGGCTGCATTTCTTATGGAGGCGGAAATGCTTAGGGCTTGTGCTCAGATTTGGGTGCACATCTATCAATCAAGCTTGGGATACGGGGGTTTGTTGACGCTCCTTTTGCGAGCAAGTCTTACTTAGCGTCGTGCAGATTTTTGTTGGCTAGCATACGTACATGCACGACTTTCGGTGCTGAACAGATACGCATTGGGAATGTTGTTTTTTCATCGGTTGTTGCGTGCGACATATATAAACATAAGACAAAGCGAACGATATGTCAGTGCGGCGCTACCTAGGGTTACTCGCGATTTACATTTTGGCCGAATTTTCGCTTGAACTCTGTCGATTGTATTCGGTTTCGGTAAAAAAAAAATAGCAAGTGTGGCGCTAAACAGTGGCACTGCCTGCAACGCGTTTCGATGAATATTTATCCATAGTGGCAAACGGCATATGCATTGCACATTCACAGGGCACTTTTTGACCTCCGAAATTGCTTGCTGCAAGTTCCAGCGTTACACGGGTGATGCGCTGGTATTGTTTCAACCCCTGGAAGTCATTTAGTCCCAGTGGCAAGTTGAACAGCGTGGAAAAAGTTAGACTGCAAGCGCAGCTGACAACGGAACACGACCGTCCTTCGGATGCACACCGTGCGGCAGCTCGCTCAACAAGCGGTTCTGAATGTCACGGCTAGCGATTGCGCCAGTGTTGCTCGACTGTCGCTCGTTCATAAGCATATTCGTTTAAAAATTAATGGCTCGACCAAATTCTCTCAAATTTCGCCTGCTTGTCTGTGAATGTACAAGAATCAACCCACTCAACAGAAATTATGGTTGAAAATTCGGTGTCATGACCCCTTTAGGTGGCCGGGGCCATTTTCCTTAGTCTAATGAACGAGTATAAAATGGGTTGCGGATAAATAATGTCGCAATCGAACACTCGGTGCACACTAATAACTGCCGCATTGGAGCACGTGGTGAAGCGTCAAGGGGAACACGTGCGTAGGCAACAAAAATATAGCATAAACACTGTTTCTTCGAAATAAAGTCCATATAAATGCATAAAGCGAGTCGGTATATTGTTTCATTCTTGTGGTCTTTTGCGTGTTATACTAAGAACATGGTATTTATTTTTTCGTGAAGTAGACTCCGAAGTTCATCCTATATAGATCGTCGGCTGCATACTGTACGAGAAGTTTTATCTGACTGAAAACTTTCATGAAGAGTTCTTGTTTACCATGCTGAATCGTCCCAGACAACGAATGAGTGCAATTGTAGCATGGCAAGTTGACATGAGTATGCAGAATTCAGATCAAACCCATTAAACCAACATGTCACACTTTCTCTTTATTTAGGCTTTCACCCTCTAATACTATAGAGTAACTGTACCTCGTTCCAAAATTCTACATGGACATACGGACATTATGCACGAACATAAATGCTCTTATGCTCAATTTTATTGGGATAGCGATTATAGGGACCGACCTGGTTGGTTTTTGTCATCGCCGCCGCCGTCATGCACCGTATAGATAGCTTGCACCTATGTCACTCGACCTCACTGCTCGCAGCGAGTCGGCCATTTTTATAAACCGTGTTCAGGCCTTGTTAAGCCATGTCTCGTTGGACCTACAAGTTTCTTCCTCCACAATAGGTGTATGCGCATTGTAGGCTGCTCTAACCGTAGCCACAGTTGCACAAGAAATAAACAGCCTACTAGTACGAGCTTCTTTATAACCACTGAAGGTTATTGAAGACCGGTGCGAGCATACGAAAAAGTTCAGCGCGAACCGTCGGAGGACCTGGCTGGCACGCATAAAGCGTGCGCATTCTGACGAACAAAACGGCACCGTTTTGGTGTGCGGGGCTTACTTCGTAGGAGGTGAGTGACTGAGAGAGGAAGCATGAAGACAATAATTAACGTGGATGCTCTTGTGCTCGTAGGGAAGCCGTCCAGGTTGTTCGATGAGACGAACCCAGATAGGGTGCGCCGTCTCTGCAACTCGGCTACGGCTCCAAGCATACAGGCGCTGCGTGGCATGAGCACGAGGAAAATCGGCGTGACGATAAGCAGCAAGCAAAGTTCAAAGGGCGCCGACGACATGCCTGATGCGGCGATCGTAGACTCAGCGGCTGAGCCGGCGTCGCAGACCTGTGCTGCCGCCGATGCCCCCGCATTGCCGCTGACCGTTCACATCTTAACGAAAAAGCAAACAATTCTGCATTACGAACCCTTCTGCCCCGAGGAAATCATCCATGGCAGTACGCGAATGAGTACATTGCACTTTCATCCTTCATTTGCCCCTCTGCCACTTTGAAATTTCATCGCGCAAGTCTGCTGCTCAACAAGATCAAGGCATCCATTCGTGTAGATGAATCCAAATCCCTCTTGATGACAGTCTACATGTAGTGAATAAATTTTCAGTATTACATTCATGCACACGTACATGCCACTATGTTTATGACAAAAGAAAAAGCAACATGCAAACGGGCAGATGCAATCGAAAAACGCACCACCGCGTGAGCACCTCGCTGTGCTCGCGTGAGAACTGAGCGCAAACATCACCATTTGTTGATTAGGCAGCGTTCATTCATTGCTACATGATAACTTTAAGCTGGTGTTTGTATGGATTTGATGAACCATTGAACTTACCTCGGCAAATGACGATCACTCTATGTTCGCGAAGCTCTTCAACAGACTGGCTTTTTTCAGCCGCTGGTGAAGCATAGTTGTGCGCTCCATGATTTTAAGCCTTCAATTCACCTACGTTACAAAATTGGTGCTAAAAACTAAATTGTTCACAATGTCACCGTGCGACAGTTCTGCGGTCGCAGAGATATTTTAAGTATTGGTGCCCGGTTCGGGTCAAAGTGTGTACGAATTTACTCCGTCGCACAAGTGCACCTTCTCCTCGTAGCGAGAACGCGCTTCTTCTAACAACTCGAAGTAGTATGCCGCATTTAACAGCTGCCTTGTGCCAACCTAGTGCATGATGCACAAAAAAAAAAAAAAAAACTGATTGCGAGGAATATAGCGACAATGGCAGTGCGGCTCCGTCGTACTGAAAACGGCAATCGTAGGACTTGCTGCACACGGCAGATATGAGCGGCGGTTCATGAAGATGGCCGCCACAATAGGACCGCAGCAACAGTGATGTCATGTGCAAGCTATATAATATATATATATATATATATATATATATATGTATATATATGTATAAATTCAAGGGAAAAAAGTTGGCCCCGTATCTGCATGTTTCATTGCAAATGTCGTCGAAAGACGATAGTCTTACGCCTGGAGAGAGTGAACAAAACGTTTGTTTGATTTTCTGTGCGAGAAAATCGGATAATTGTATTCTGGAGGGGCTGCGTTAGAGTGCCTCGATCCGTGTAGCGAAGGCGAATGAGTGCATCGAGGCTTGAGCGCTATCTGGCAATTATCTTCGAAAACGAAGGAAGGTGTGCGCGCTAGTCTCGGAGGTGATAAGGTGTAGAACGCAAAGCGACGGGCAGGTGCCACCACCGTGTTTCAGCAAAGCGTTAGAAACACTTTCGTTTTTGTGCATAGCAATGCATTGTCAGTGCAGCATGATAAATGCTATGGTCCTTAGAATTACTTATGTACGCCTTCTCTAGTATAAAGACACATAAAGAATATTGACGTGTTGTTATTGTGCCTCAGATTTGTGCAACCATTGCTTTTCAATTGACAATCGCACAAGTATGAACGTTGAAGCTTGAGCAATATTGGTGGGCGCTGCAGATAGGCGTGGATTTTGGTCGATTCGGGTATCATTTCAGCGGACAGACAGATGTACAGGCAGGCGGGCAGGCAGGCAGGCAGGCCAAACTTTTTGCACCGAAGTAGCGCAAAAAAGAATCGTCTTTAAAGGGCCACTCACCAGGGCCCATAACTAATTTTAGTTAGACAGTGGAAATTGTGTGTCCAATGAGAAGCATTTGGCCACAATTTTTTTTTCTATCGGTTCATTACGAGCTGAGAAAACTTTCTTTTTTTTAAGCGGCGTGAAACGAGGTTGAGAGAAGGCAAGCTCGAAATCCTTGCCGCTCCATCGTGCAGCCTTCGCTAGCCAAGTCTTCCCTGCCCTCTCTGGCATCTGACCAAGAGGCCACGTGAGCATGACGTACTCGAACAAGCCCAACCCCCCAAACACGCGAGTGGCATTTTTTTTTTTTTGGCCAGCGTAATATTGCAGTTTACTGCCCGTTTCCGCGAGATGGTTTGGAAACGCTGGCTTAAGCGAAGTGGAATAGATGAGCTTAATGAGTGTGCGAACACGTAGAAGCGTTATTTTTTTCTCCACGGCTGTCCTCTGCTCAATGCGCTGACCGCAGGGACACGAACGCATGCAAAACTCTTAGCCCTGCATCTCGTTGCAATTCACGGGAGAAAAAAAAGACGCGCATAATAATTATTGTCTTTTTATTTATCCAGAGAAAAACCTCTTCAAGCTCCCAATTGTATAAACTACGCATATTGTACTAAATAATTTTCGCCATGTCATGTGCCATTGATGGCAATGTCAGAACACAGTCGTCTACATAGAGGATCAACGTCAATGCACTGCTGTGTACGTAAGGCCATCCATACATGCACGCCATGCCCTCATTCTCTGGGCGCGCGCCCGTGAAAGGAAGAGGGAGCAGCGTACATCTTGAAATTTGACCTGTTTCCGCAGCGCGGAGCGTTGCAAATTTCGGCAGAAGTGATCATGAACGCCTCATCTACGCGTTGCACTTGTCAGCTCAAAAATTGTCAAGCCTGGCGAGTGGCCTTTTAAAAAAGCCGCCCGCGCTCGGCCCCCAGCTCATTGCGATGAGCCAACGCTCGCTTATCTCCCACGCATACTTTGCCTCAGGCATGGGAGCGGGAAGAGGAGGGGGGGGGGAGGTTGGGTGCTCGTGCATGCTCGCTTATTCTTCGGTGTGAAGAATCGTGTGCCTTGGTCTTTCACCGAAACGATTGCCTTAGTTCCCTGGGCCACGCAGGTCACTTGGCTCCCTGAGCACGCCCCATTTGCGAAAAGACTGCGCTTTTCAAAGACAGCGAAATAATAACTGGGACACTCGTTAGTTCACACTAATATATTTGTACCTGTGATTACGTTTCATGCATAACTTTTTAAAGCGGCATGTTAAGCATCGAACTGTAAACGTTGTTAGTTAGCTCTCGTGCTGTGTGTGTTGTTTTCGTGCGTCAATTGTGCGTGAACAGCGCGCTGTACGTTTCGATCTGCTAGCCGTTCTCAGTGTTACATTCTAAGTTGTTGATATCACATCCACTGCTTCGTCCTTGCGGGGAAACAGATTTTTTTATGGAACCGTATAGTACAACTACAGGCCATATTTATGGCATGTGAGATTCGTAAACACAAAAAAAGTTAATTTTTCAAAAGAAAAAGAAAGAATGAGAGAATGTTGTGATTTTTTGAACTCGCGTAAGCTCCAGGCTTCAATCGTCTGCCCGGAGCAATAAAAAAACTTTTTTTCTCCTCCTTTTTAATGAAATGTGCGCAAGCTGGCCCTACTTCAAGATAAAGTATGAGTTTCTTGGCCGTTTTCGGGGTATATGAGGCAATATTTTCTCTTTCCTCTTGCCTGTGAGCCCATCGTTTTGTGCCATTAACTTTCTCTCGCCACTTCCTTTTGCTTCCTTTCTCCTGTAGCTGCTGTTGGAGGCCGCGTTCGACATGAAGTGGGAACACTTCGCTGTGCTGCACTCTCATGACGAGCCCAGCGTGGCCGTGGTAAAGGCGCTTAGTCAGCGGGCTGTGTCGGCCGCATCTCCCTGCGTCACCCTCATCGAGGCCCTGCCCAAGACGGCCACCCATGAAGGCGGCGAGCGGGCCCGTCTTCGACTGCGCAACCTCCTCGTCCAGCTGGAGGATACCACACCGGTCTTCGTGGTGACCGCTTCGGCCGATGTTGTCGAGGCCCTCGCAGAGCTCATCGCCTCGGACCCGGACACCTTCCTGCGCCACCGACAGTGGTTCTTCGCCTGGGTGCCTGGCGAGGAAGCCCTGCGCAGGCTGGGCCCGCTGCTCAACCGCGCAGGCTTCTACGCCCTCGCCCCATACCCACCCACCGTGGGCTCGTTCGAGGACCACTGGAGTAACTTGAGCCGTACGGCCGACGTCAAGAATGCTGGGGATCGTTGGTACCTGGAGCTTGTGGCAATGCAGAAGCACTGCAGAATACAGGGTCTCAAGTACGTCACTTTATCTTATCAGTCATAGTGGGGGATCGCTGGATCGCTGGCACTAAATGGTTCATGGAAACTCGCTGGGAGGACTTCCTTGATTGTGCACAAGGATCTTGGCCATATTCATCACAACACATATGTATGCATAGTCTGCCTAAGAGTTCAAGATTCTTCCACGTTCCCATTTTGGTGAGACTGAGCACAAGTGGTTTAAAGTTCATCATTTTTTTACCTACTACATACATCTTGTGTTGTGCATTAAATCTAATGAGGGCACTTGTTTCAAAGAGCTGACCTACACGAAGGAAACTTTTCAGGAAGTCGTCAGTGCTGTGAAAAATGCGCGTCTTTCTAGACATTCTTTATCGCATGCAGGACGTTCATGAAGGAGTCCTGGCACGATTCTTAGGCTTCGCAAAAGGGACATTTTTCGTTTCCTTGACACCATCGCAGGATCCCTGGACTGGAGAACGCAGTGCCGTGTCCAGACTTGTCCCTGAGCCACGAGCCCGTGCAAGCCCTTGTGCGAACGTCTCGGGCCCTGCCGGCCGCGCGGGGTGTGTTCACACTTGCGCAGGCGCTGCGCTCAGCCTGGAAAGCGCTGTGCCGAGGACAACCTGGACTGTGTCCCGAGTTGCGACGCCTCACAAGGAGTCAGTTTGCCGGATCCTTCCTGGAGCCCGGTGGTACGGCGTTCACGCTCTCAAGGTCAGGAGGTAGTCTACCTGCAGCCCAAGCAACGGGCGCTGTGAGCCGTGAAGCACGCGCTGCCTCTGACGTCCTGGGAGAACTCGGCGCGAGTCACCTGGCTTTGACTCGTTTCCTGTACGACGCGGTCAAGGGAACGGACTTCAAACAGGTTGGTGCATTACGTGTGTGCACTTTTTTGGCTGTCTGGATGTGTGTCTTCCGCTAAGACTATTCTTGCATTCTATAGCACATTCGCAAGGAGCTAATCAACTCCAGAATGGTGCGAAATATGTGCTTGCGAGCTGGTCAGATTAAGCTGTAGGTCACACTGTGTTTCAAGAGTGCGCTCGTGAATGAAGATTAGTGCCGCGATGTGTTCCGCTACAACAATGCATCGAGATATGCAGGGTAGAACCTCACAAGAGCATGCAGGTACGAATATTATAAACCCTATTACAAATCCGCAAATCTCGAACATCAGGGAGAAAAGTCTCCAAAAGGATTTGGACGATTCATGTTTAATTCTACAGATTTTCTAAATTTCATTTCTGCTTCTCAATAACTTGTTAGTGTCATAATGAAACAGGGGCCTTTCAGTTCGATATTGTTGGGAACATTTTTTAAAATATTCTTATTCTTTTTTTGCAGCTGATACTTTACGACTCGGAGGAGGCGAAACTTTTGCAGAAAGACACTCGCTTCATGCCAGCACTTTGCTCTGCTGATACGTGCCAGAACTGCATCAGGTAAGTCAGACATTCGACAACACACGTTGACATGTGACAGCATTTTTTGTTAGTTTTTATGCACCTTGTTACTCCCTGACATAGGGTGTTTGTTTGTTTGTTTGTTTGTTTATTAATACTGTCAACCCCAGCTGGGGTTTTTACAGGAGTGGAAAACAAATGAAAGAAATGGTCATGAAATACGTTACAAAATAGAGACATACAGCGAACACAGGTATTTACACTAAAAGACAAAGTTAAACACAGGCATGTGCACTTGCATTCTGCGCATAGAAAACAACAATTAACAAAGCGAGAGGCAATATACATTGACATCGTGAATTATGACGCATCTATTTCGGAGAAAATGGTGTTGCCAGTCATGCTGCGATAATATCTGCACCTATTAGTAACACACGATGCGTTTGTCGCCTTATGACCCGCCTCATTTCATATTGTATGTCGCGAATGGTCTTGCAACTCCTGTAGGTTTCGCACCACTCGCCTGGAGGAAGCAGACGCGACCATCACGTCAGCCTCGTCACTCCCGACCAGCACTGAAGCTGGCCTGTCTGCCACCGACATTGTCCTTCCTGTCTTGCTTCCCCTCCACAACGCTGGCCACGGTGCATTTGGCTGCGGAGACATGGTCAACCGCCTAGCTGTGCAAGACCTAGAGGCCGCCTCTTGGATGGTGCGCAAGATCAACTCGAATGGCGTCCTTCTTCCGCGACTCAAGCTCGAACTTCGCGCCATTGACACATGCTCCTCGGCGCCTGTCCTCACACGGGACATCTCGGCTGTGCTGGAGCACTTCTCGGAACTGGGCGTGCCCACCGTGTTCATCTCCTCGTCCATGTCGGCCGAACACACGAGGGTAGCCTGCGTCCATCTTGTCTCGCCTGAACGTCACCTTGGTGACCACGACTGACCTGGCTGCTTCGCACGGCCGCCGGCCCAGCTACCTCTACCAAATACCGCTGCCCATTGAAAAGATCGCCGAAGCAGCGGTCACCTATTTGCAGAGCCTCGACTGGAGCTATGTGTCCTGTCGTGTCGAGTGAGAGTGAGTCCCGCGCATTCGAGGCCTTCAAGGAGCGTGCCGATGCCGTCGGCATCTGTCTCGCCATACAGGCTACGCTGAACGCCGGACGCGAGTTGGACCCCAACCTTATCGCGCGCCTCACGACGGCTGCTGCAAACGGCGCCCGCGCTGTCGTCCTCTGGACGGATTCCGAAGACACTCTGCGCTTTCTGGCTGCATTGCGAAGGGCCCGCACAGAGGGACTACTGGACCACGCTGACTTGGTCCTCATTCACGGCGGCGGCCAGCCTGTCAGCTTCGACGGCCACGAGGAGGATGCTCTTGGCGCTGTCCTGCTGCGGCCCCAGTATGGACAGGTACGAATTTTTCGTTTTTAAATAAAGACACAACAGAAAACCTTCTTGAAACCCCACGGGAATCGATTGCTGGAGTGCCGGGCTAGATATAAGACACGCTGATACATATATTTGGTCCCCGTACGCGTAGGTTTTGGACTTCGAGTCTTACTATGAGCGCCTGCGTCCGGACCAGAATCGCTTCTTCAGTGACCTGTGGTCTCAGGCGAGGACGTGCCACCAGACTCAAGGTGGCCAGGTGTGTTCGGTGCCACTGATGCCCAGTCGCTCGGTGGTGGACGTCATGCAGGCTGTGCTCGTCGCTGCCACAGCGCTCAGAGACCTCCGTGAACAGGTGTGCGGAGGGTCCAGAGAGGTGAGCAAAGACTTCTTCTTTTGATTGATTTATTAATTGGCTGAGTGTCCATTTCACAAGTCGACGCGATATGGACTCTGGGAGATGCCTTGCATAAGGGGGGCTCCGCATTGAAGAGGCTTCCAAGCAGCCTACTTTCGTAGTTACTGAAAACAGATATGTGTAAACATTCATAAAATATATTGTGAAATATTTTCAAGGACATATAATACGGCTAGAGACTAGAGATTTTACATACGCAATGTCTATCTCTTCCATCCCACCTAAATATCCCCTGTTCATAGGACGGGGGCACTCCGGTGGCGGTGCACTAGTCTTCGGAAGTCGCAATTCATTTCGGTCGGGGGCGCTTGGATGACAGCTGGCTTCTTTCCGAAGTACGAACTTTGTCATCAAAATTCAAGATGGTGTATTTTAATTCTGCAGCCTTCTGTGGTAACAGTAGGAAAAAGTGCAGACTCCAGCATTCTACAGGCTTCATTTTATTGTCTTCCATGGCATCTCCCCATTAAAGACTGCTTGCCCGATGTCGGACATAGGTCAGCCGTTATCAGTCGGTTGTCAGTATCAATGGCTGGGCCATGGATGGTCAGCCATCCATGGCCCAGCCATTGCGAAAATCAAACTTATTGCTAGGTCTCACACTAAAACGTCCAGCTTATGAGTGATGTCTCATATTAGTTCCACAATGGTGTGCAAAGAGGCACCTCAGATGTACTTCTGCGATGCAGGCAATGGATGCCCTTTACTGTGCTCGGCTCCTGGCTAACGCCATGGGCGTGGGAGAGGCGCTGGACGAGCTGGTTCGCCAGGCAAACACAATGCGCGTTGGCGACAAGAATCAGATGTTCGTCTTCACCGAACGAGGCCATGGAGACATCGCCGTCGACCTGTGGAACGTCCGCAGGTCAGCCGCCGGCATCGCACCTCAAAGGGTGAGCGTGCACAGTGGCTAATGATACGACTCCACATACCATGTTGTAACTGCCGGCGTTTAGGTGCTATGAATAGAATAGAAAGCCGAATTATTCTGAGTGGGTATTATCAATACCACTCTTCCACGCTGATATGGTAGTACGTTTCGAACTAACTGTAGCGCAACACGTTCAAGTATGCATGTCTATGTATCCAAAGGTTTACACTGCTTCCCACACTGAAGATATACGTTATGCTATACAACAGCAAATATTCACATCATCCACAAACTAATGCACAACGGGTAGAAATATATTCAATAACCTGCACATGCATGTTATTGCATAAATGGGGCTCATTCAGTTTCTTAAAGCTCTAAAGAAGACGCAAGTACTCTCACTCACAGAGTGTTGTTCTACTCCTTGCAATGAGAACCTCCGTCACAGCCCTGCAAGCAAATTACTGTTTTAGTCCACCTGATTATTTTCCCTGAAACTACCGAAACGCCGTGACGTTAATGAAGTGCGGGCCGTTCCGTTCTTTGGCGGGTGTGGCTGACTTGTCATTCACTTCTCTTCTTCCTCGTCTTCGGCAGGCCGGTCACCTGGCCGACGATCGTTTCATGGAGCTTATGCCTGTGGTCACCTACGAAGGCAGCAGCAGCAGTGAAGTCAAGGAAGTGGCGCTGAATGAGCTCCGGTCCGCCTGTCAGGCTGCTTCGTGCCGGGATCACTGTGCTCCCAAGGCTGTCGACTTCTTGGTGGTGCCTTCGCCCGACCACGTCTATCTTGCGGCTGCCTTCTCTGTGCACGAGCGTGGTGACGCCCCGTTCCAATGCTCGCACAGAGTCACTGAGTCCGGCGTGCGCCGTGTGGAGGCCTTCCTCTGGGCCCTGGACCAGATCAACGCCAGCCCCTCGGTCCTGCCAGGAGTCAAAGTCGGCGCTGTGGTCTTCGACGTGTGCGGCAGCCGGGAGAAGACCTACAGAGACCTGTCTAACTTTGCCAGTGACTCGCTAGCCTCGCTCACAAGGCCCATCCGGTTGCCCGCACTTCGGCACGTGTTCGGCTTCGTATCCTCCGGCAGTAACAACGCCGGTCAATGCACAGTCAAGCCGGCGGCCGAAGTTCTCGCCGCAGCTGCTGGCATGCCCACGGTTGCGTCGGACTCATCACTGTCTCAGCTCGGGAGCCGCCGCTATCCGAGCCTCCTTCGCGTGCTCCCGTCCAATACGGAGGTCGCCCAGGCCGTCCTGCGTGTCCTCAGGTACGCAGATATCAACCGTTCATGTGTGTGGTTGACCATTGTGCTCTGTAATTTTCTTAACAGATCTTTTTTCTGGCCACTTGGCTCAATTATGACGTACTTGCCATGCAAGCGCAGATGCATCTTTAGTCCCATGGTTTCCCGTGCTGTCAGCCATTTCCTGATCACTGCTTTTGCTGATCTGCTGACTTGCTGCTTTATAAATGTGCTGTTACTACAGTTTTCGCTGCCTAATATCTTGGCATGGCTGGTGGCACTGCGTCTAAAGCAATTTTCCACTTCATATTAGTACAGCACACAAATATTGCTATTTCTGCGTTGCCTCGTCCCAATTAACCACGGATATCCGCTGGCTATCCATTCCAAGTGTATACAAATTTCCAGCCATACAGATATCCAAAACGGATAGCCAATGGATGTACAGTGAAAATTCATGTCCCGTGTGGCTGTTTTCTTGATGTCCGAATTGGATGTCCGACTGGACATTGTTTTGAACGTCGACTGGCTGTCTTTGTAAGGACATGCCAATGATATGTGCATTTGCTCATCAATTATTATAATGTTAGAATCTAGTGAAAATATATAGAGATCTGTAAAATGCCAATCTTGTAAAATTTCATTAAAAAAGCTATAAAATATTTTGAAATTAACTTTCGGCACAAGCATTTGATCCCAGGTTGTCAAATAATTTTGCTTCCCGAGGCAAAACAATCTGGTTGATTCAATATGTGTATCGTAGTTTGCCATAAGTAATAATGTATTAAGTGTTATTATTATCACCTGTACACTAACGCAAATGCGGATCAAGCGCACCGTAGCAGTCATCATGTAGGCAAACTTTCATGCGCCAGCCTCGATACTTCTCATCAAGCGGCGCACTGCAGTAGCCCAGATTCCTCGAACGTACACGTCATGTTAGCCGTGCACCTCTGGATGTGTTGGGAGAAAACGCGCGTCATTGTGCCTATTGTCTCCAAACCTGCTTGACCAGAGGCACGCACTGAGGGATGTAGCACGGGAAAGGAGGGTGTTCGTGTCGCACCGCACGTTTGTACGTTGAGTCTGTCACCGAGCGTTGAGTCTGTCTCCGACCAGAGGCACGCACTGAGGGAAGGGTGTTCGCGTCGCACCGCACGTTTGTACGTTGAGTCTGTCTCTGAGCGGCAGAAGGTAGATTTTTTTTAAGTGCGCCCGTGGGGACGTCAACAGCAACATGTGAAGTTACACAGGATGACTTTCCTACAAGAAACATGGAAACGCGGTGCGAGCCTACCACTGTTTTCGGCAGAGATTGCCTTGGCAAGCAGCAGCAACCCCGCTCACTTGCACAGCACAGATAAGGCCACATGTTACATATCTGTTCTTTACGTCTCATATCAGACATGTATCCATTTTTAGCATGTGTTAACTATTGCCCGTCATTTGTATTAGCCCTGCTAATACGTGGCACGTTTTCAGCTCTTTATTTGCTCGCATATTCCTTGCTATTAACTGATTTAGGACAAGCACATGGTCACTGTCTGCACACCTTCTTTAGAAGCATATGCTACACCCATTAGTTTTTCTCCTGTGCTTGTCTGTATGTATGTATTGCAGTTACTGGAATAACATTGCCATAAGCATGCACAAGTTGGGTTTGTCGTTAATAACCTAATTTAATCATAGACCCGTAAAGGAGCAATTGCTGCTACCTAAGACGTCGTTGCACTTGGAGGCGGAAGGGCATTGAACACTGCAAACTTGTAAGACTACGTACACACTTTCACAATTGCGGCTGCGGACTGTGAGTTATGTGCTTCTTAGCCTTGATATATGTAGATAGTTAAGGTTCGATTGTTTTTGAAAGCCCACGTGGACTTCATTTTCTTTAGAATTATATTCCCAGCAGAAAAGCTTCCGCGGAAAAGACGAGCCTCCAAGTGGGCTGTGTGGGTGCGTTGTTCACGTGAAAGGTTTTTCTTGAATATGCACTATATATATATATATATATATATATATATATATATATATATATATATAATCTTCTGAAGTCTGAAGGGCTGGTCAATATCCATGTTGCCTGTCCTGAAGGGATGTCGAGCGCGAATGTACAAATTTGTTACCTTTTTATTTGTACATGTGATGCATGTCCATCGACGTGCAGTGTACATTCGTGGACATTTGATCGATGTGAGAATATCCGAACCGTACGTCCCATCAAATGCCTACCGGATATCCGTGGTTACTTGGGGTGCTCCACATTGTAATAGAAATAAAATATATCCCTTGGAGTAGAGACCACTGTTTCCTCTGTTATGCATAAAAATCATTGAAGCAAGGCAGGCTATTGCCTTAAGAGGAGCCGCAATGTGCAGTAGTGAACTCTTGCAAAGGATGTGTTTGCTTAATGATGTCATTACATTGTGAAAGGAAGGCATTTTAAGGTACGATTATTGCCAGTTTGGTCAACGCCTCTGTATTCATGGCAGATATCTGCTACCTGCTTGCCTCTAGCATTAGCGTTTATGCACAAGAATCGCGCGCTGTATTACAAATGCCTGTTATTCGTGCACCGCAGGCACTTCAAGTGGACGTACGTGTCAGTGGTGTACAATGACCAAGATGACGAGCTGCAGGACCTGTGGGAGCAGTTCGAGCGAGCCTTGGAGGGCGGACCCCTTCGTCTCGCCACCACGCTCCACCTCAAGGATGACACTTCGGACGAGGACGTACGGGCTACCGCCACCCAACTTCTCCGCAGACACAGGGAGGGTGCCCGGTGAGTGGTTGCCGTAAAGGCATTCCTCCGGGTCTACGATTCCCGTCAGCGCAACATTGTACAATTCATATTGCATTGTCTATATAATCACCTTAACGCACCTGAGTAACTAACTGCCTGCGTTGTAGCCGACGCTACCCCACCCGAATTGTTTGGGTAAGGCGTTGTAGCTGATGCTAACCCACCCAAATCGTTTAGGTTTTTGCCCTGTTATCGGAGAAAAATACTCTCTTTCTAGCAGTGTTGCCCTCAATTTTTTTTGTTTGTGGCATCTACCAGTGTGCATTCAAAAAAAAGTGGGACTTCATTGAATCGCTGAGGCACCTGCCTCGTTGCACTGCTTGCCGTACTAAGTAATACATCTATATGTGTGCCACGTCGTGCATCGCGCTGACAGTGGTCTAAATCTTGCTCTTGGCTCAAAGTCTGCTGGCTATCAACTATGTTCTAGTTTCGAAATGTATGCCGCTAGACATTTTCTATGACCATAGAAGACACCTTTTATGATAATTTTTTACTCGTTCCGCATTCACCAACATGAATGCCGATCTGTCTTCTTCAAACTCCTCATTTGCACAATGCTCAATGCACTCTTCGCACAGGGTCGTGGTCCTGTTTCTCAAGGACAAGGCAGCCGACGCCCTGCTGACCGCTCTTCACGAGGCATCGTCCTCAGCGGCGTCGCCCCAAGCACCGGACCTGACCTTCGTTGCGCTGGGCCTCCGCGACATCCTGTCTCGGCATCCCGACGTGGCGCTGGGATCTCTCTCACTCCGGCTGGCGTCCGTAGACGTGCCGGGATTCCGTGACCACTTGCAGCACCTTAGTTACTCGGGCAATGGCCGAAACCCCTGGTACCGCGCTTATGTTGAGCAGAAGACTGGGTGCCATGGTCCTGCAGCCTGCGCGAACGCATTGGCACCACCACTGGCCAGCGGGGGCGGTGCCGGCAGTGGGATATCTTCGCTGGATGCAGATGACGTGAGCGCTGCAGAGTCTACAGTCACCGCGGTGTTCGCCCTGGCGAGTGGCCTTGACCAAGCACGTAAGACGAGGTGAGCTATAATTTGGGAAATTTCGCGGCCAATGAAATGACCAGGGTTGCCATTGGTGGCTACTTTTCGCCAATTTGGTGAACTTGAGAGGCTCGTAGCATCCCAAAATTAGGAATGGTGACATGGCGATTTTTTTGGCGATTTTTGGCCTACGTCTCCACTCAATTACGCATTCTATGCTCCGCGTCTTCCTCATGAATGAGCAACATTTTTTTTTCATTTTTTTTTCTTTTTGACCCGCAAGTAAATGTCACACTTTTTGCGCACTTCAGTGCGTCAGTTTTGTTAATGGAGGTGCTGGTGGGTCCCCCAGGAGCCTACCAGCCCAGTTTAAATCAGCAGATTTCTTTGCGTGCGGCGTGGTTGCAGTATAAAACTAAGATCTATAAGGTGTTTTGCAGTCTGCCATGCGTAGGAGGAGCCATGACCAACTGGTACAAGAAATAAGACGCCATCATGAAGCTCTAGCACGAGGGCATGATGTTATATATCAATGGCTGCCTGGACATATCGGTATTACCGGAAATCAATTAGCCGATGATGCAGCCCGCTCAGCCCATGAAGAAACCCATGTAGTCCCGATTCCTCTATCAAGGAATGATGCAGCAAGACAACTTTACCTGCTGGCTCGAGATCTCACACACACGTTCTGGTCGTCTACCAGCTTCCAAAGGTGTCAATTTTATGAACTGGATCCTTCGCTCAAGCTAAAGCTACCATAACAACTTTCCCGCTCTGATGCGACACTGTTATGCCGCCTTTGGTTGGGTGTTGCATTGACAAAGGTGTTCTCCTTTCGCATTGGTATGGCAGACACTCCTACATGCGACTACTGCGGAGCTGAAGAGACCATCGAACACGTCTTGTGCAGCTGCGCTTGCTACGACACACAGCGATAAGTTGCTTCTCAAGTGGCTAGACAATAGTTAGGCGGCGTGTTCCCACCATAGCTCCAACTTTTCTGAATAGCTTGTCGACTTCGTCGCTGCTGCAGTACCTGCTACTTCACTACGCAGGCTTTATTTTGTTATTACCACTTTTTCGGTCACACCAAGAGGTCGGCTTCTTTGAGCGGCTTTCAGCAACATGAGTAAAGCCAATCTGTAGCGTAAGCTTGGCCACGCAGAAAGCTTAGTGCGCGCATTGCGATGGTTACACAGTATTTTCGAAGAAGTTATTTTCAGTTTTCCAGTGTTCAGCAGATCACCATGAAAGGATTGTCATAAACGGTCTATTCATAACGGGTGTAGCCCTGCGCCACAAATTGTCTCTCACGACTATTCGCAGAACAAGGCGCACCAAGCACTCCCATAGTAAACCGGGAAACGCGACTGGCAATGAAAAATGTCAATATAATTTAGGGGTTTTCAATAGTACTGTATTGTACGAGGCTACTCATAATTTGCAATTTTTTTTTTTACTAGACATGACAAACACGTCTAGAGTGGCGACATTTTCGGTGATATTTCAGAAAAATGGCGACTTTTGGTGACTTGCTGCTCCTGGTTTGGCGACTCTTACTTGAAAGTCAGTGGCAACTTTAGAAAGGACACAATGACATTTTTTCCTCAGCATGAAAGCCACAACTTTCTGCTGAAGTAGCTTGTTAAGCTCATTAAGCTTGTTAAGATGGTTTACTATTTTTAATCGGCATGTGCAAGCTCGAATTGCTTATTTGGTGAGACCAAAAGGGCATATATGGTTTTATGAAACAGCCCAAGAATTCGAGGCCTCGCGCGGCCAGCTAACACTCCATCTTCAATTGTATTACGGACCTCGATCAGCTAGGCCAAAGCACCGAGTCGTCTTTATATAGAAGTCACCTGACAGGTATTTCAGAGAACATGTATTCTAAGTTTCTCGTACTTCAGGAAGGAAAAATGCTCTATGTGGCGTCTAAGTTAGACAAGTTTTCTTAACTTTCTCTGCTAGCATTGCCTGTTACCATAATTCAAATACTACAAGTTCTGACACAGAAATGTGGCAGACAGTACAAAAGTGCCCTTGCTTTTAACATGAAAGTGTCTTTGGTGGGGTCCACCATGGCTCTGCTCACATACTTTCGTCAGAGAAGAGATGTTGAAAAATATATATTAATAAATTGCTGGGAAAAAACACAAGGTAAGCATTCATCATATCGAATCGAACTAGTAACTTCTCTATTCCTGGCGCGCAGCCCTAATCACTACGCCACAGAGCGGGCTTTTTGTAGATGCTAATGGCAAGCCATTTATATACATCATCTTTGAAACTTTAGCGCATTTTTGTTATCAGTGGCAAGATGGCACGAGGTGCTCGTGTTGGTTGTGCTCTAAAGGTCGTCGCCTCCACGAAGTGCCAAAACCACGAAGCATGGTCTGCACGCGCGCTTATCAGGTTCGTAATTCGGGAGAGGACGAAGGTCACTTAGCATGCTGCCGCGGCCGCGTTTACGATCGGAGCACGGTGCTGACACACGACGTGTAGACAATTGTAACGATTGTTTGCACGCATCCTGTGTACACTTGTCTGCTTGTTTCGTGCGTCTTTCTTTTTGTTTGAACAACGTGGTTTAAGTATCGAGACTTGACAGTTGGTATTTCGCGCTTCTCGTGTGTGTGCTTAATTCGTGCATGCTTTCTGCTTGAGGTGTGCGCTGGAAATTTTGAGACTCTCCTTTCTTAACGCGACGATAAAATTTGTTACTGTTGTGAAAACGGTGCACAATAAATACTCAACTAGTACTTCTGTAAGGACATGTTTCACTTTCATGCTATAATGATTCCAACATAGGGGGATCAGCCACGTTTTTTTTGTGTTTCTGTTTAGGTGTGCGGGCGAGGACAGCAAGCCATGCGAGCTGTCCATGGACGACGCTTATCGAAACCTCGTGATAAACTTCACCCGTAATGTTCGCATCACGCGCCACGATGGTTCGGTATTCAAGTTCGCTGATGGCAGCAGCGGCAACGGCCGTGTCCAGGTCATCTACTACCGAAGCCCCGGAGTGGGCGGCATGCCAGGGGAGTTCTCGCAGGCAAGTACAGTGAAGACAAGATTGCCTGTCTGGTTGGGTTAATTAGCTTGAAACAAAAATAGGGTGTTTGTTATCCTGACTCCTTTGAAGTTAAATTGGTTCCTAGTTCAGCAGGAAAATAATGATAACGATGCAAACATTTCTACTCCAGTACTCCTATATTACAACCTCTGTGGCAGCCCAAGCCTGCCTAACGAGCTCCCGACAGAGTGCCGCCTCATATTGCAAGATGCAATGTTCAATTGACCCAGGTGGCGACAAGGAGGCGTTGATGCTCCATGACATCTGAAGCTTAAAGAAGGCCCTGGATAATTAAGACAACCTGGTTTCGTTAAATGTGCCCACTGACATCGTTCAGTACACATGCCTCTGGCATTTTACTTCAATCGAAATGCGACTGCAGCCACGTCTTTCATGTCAGCAGCTGAGCACCGTAACTACCACTGTACCACCGAAGCAGCAAGTCCTCAACTCTGCTGACTCATGGCACTGAATATGTGGTGTTCATGCTCGCGTATGTCAGGAGTTGTGGCATCAGTGGCTCTAGGCTTAATGTTGTGTTAATCTTAGCGTAATTTATAATTTATTCGGCATTATATATAAAAGCACAGGCATAGGTAGAAACTTTGTTTGGGGGGGTGGGATGCGGCATGGCCTGGTGTGCCACCTCCTGGCTACGCCAATGTCTCTAGGTGCAGTCAATGTGTTGAATCAATTGTATACAACAGTTTGTGTACAATTGATGTGCACTGCCTTTTTTTTTTCACTGCTGCTGCCATGATAACGAGTTTCACATCGTAAGTATTTTATTGCGATAGCGACCTGTCTCAAATTTGCTATTACTCTTTTCTGTGACAGATCGGCACCTACAACCGGGACGAAGGCCTGCAGATGAACGCCAGCCTTCCCGAGGTGTCCCCCGGTCGTTCACCGTACACTATCAACTCGTCGTGCGAAGTGGACAGCGAGTGCGGGCGACACTCTTCACGTCCTGGCGACGCCCTGCTCAGGGACGCTGGCGTTCAGCCCATGCTGTCGGGTGAAGACTTCCCGAGCCTCGCTATCGGCGCCGTGCTGCCCGTTCATCGCAGGGGCTCCGACATGTTCTCCTGCGGTGGCCTGCACGAAGACGGCCGCACCTTCCAGGGCATGCTCGCAGTTGCCTATGCTCTTGACCAGGCCAACAAGAACCGAACTGATGACCTCAGGTTGAACGCCGTGGTGTTCGACTCGTGCGGCACCCCGCAGCGTGCAGAGTCACTCGTGTATGGCTACATGACGTCATCAATGAGGGAGGCCAAGGCCAAGCCACTAGTGTCCATGATCACCTTTGAAAACAAGGTTTGTTGGTTGATTTGGCGTGTATGTGTGGTCCGTTGGTGACCTGCAGTTCGGTATACCATTGTGCAAGTTGACAGGCCGGCGTTCTCTTCGTGCAAATAATGCGCTATCGGTCTCCCGATAGACTGCTCGACACATATATGACGCAGTGTTTCAGTTTCCGACATTCATATGATAATCTTAGGCAGCGTTGACACTAACATATCTTCACTCTAAGCTTTTGAACACAGTCCTGCCTAGGTTTCATCCCTCTCCAAGTTTGAAGTAGAACCAGAGAAAGCTGAGTTAGCTGGCTGAACTTCACCATAAAAGAAACGGAATCTTTAAAATACGAGCGCAAGAAAACATAATCACATGTCGTAAACAATAAAATTTGTGTTGTCTCTTTAGTGTCAGTGTTTGCACAGGTTCAGTAAGCTGTGCAAAACAATAAACCTTTATCGGCACTTGTTCAAAGTTACGCATATAAGCAGTGCATGCAACAGGTGTGACTTCGCTCAGTAACCATTCCTGTTAATTTTTCAAAGGGCCAGTGAAAAGGCACCGCCTTTCTTTTTGCACTCCCCATTCAAGCCCGCACATCTTTCGTACGCCAGACCAATCTCCTTCCACGCACAGTGACGTCAGCTCGGCGATCGGTGACATTGACTTCATTACTGTTTATTGAGACCTAGTTTAGCCGAATCGACAAGCAGCATGCTGCATCACATCACCGATTGCGGAGTTGACGTCGCTGCGTGTGGAAGGAGATTGGTCACACCTAGTAAAGATGCGCAAGTTTGTTTGGGGGGTATGAAAAAAAGTCGGAGCCTGTTTACTGGCCCTTTAAATGATAAAAGAGAAGATAGAACGACAATATGCACTTAGCATCACTAGTTTGTCATCTTTAAACAACTGGCTTATTTACTTATTTCTTTTTGCTCCCATTGTCATCGCAGGTTGCCGAAGAACTGGCGCCCGTGCTGAAGGACGCCGGTGTTCCACTGGTCCTGACAAGCACAACATCAAGGTTCACCCAGGAAAGCCGACCCGTCGGGATCCAGACTCTTCCTCCCATAGTGTGGCAAGTGGAGGCCGCACTGGGCCTGCTGCGTCACTACGACTGGAGCTACGTGTACTTCCTCTACTCCGGCGACGAGTTCGGCCATGACGCCTACTACCACGTGACCAAGTCTTTTGCCAGGCTGGGCCTGTGCGTTGCCGACTCACAGAGGGTCGACCCGGACGCCACCGAGGAGGACGTCCTGGCCACGGTACTCAAGCTCACCGACTCGGACGTCCGAGTCGTCGTCGTGCTCACCGAAGACAAGGAGGTCAGTAACCGGATAGCCGTCGCCGCGCGGAAGGCTTCGCTGCTCGAGCGCTTTGTCTGGGTCGGCACCGAGGGCTTCAGCAACAACGAGCACTTGCTCGAGACACTGCATGGTGCCGACGTGGACGTCTTCTCGCTGAGGTTGGACAATGAGCCACTGCCTGACTACACCCGCTTCGTGTCCTCGCTGACGCTGGGCCGCCACGAGCCGATTCCAGATGCCTGGTTCGAGGAGTTCTGGCAGCTTCAGTTCGGATGTCGCCTGCCCAACGCACGCCGAGTACACGAGCAGTTCGCGCACATCTGCACGGGCCGGGAGAAACTGCAAGTGCGGCAAGACCGTTACGTGTACCACACTGTTCACACGGTGATGCGCATTGCGACGGCCGTACGGGATCACATTACCAAGAACTGCCCGACGGCGCTTACTGGTGGACTGGACAGCCTCGAAGGATGCAAGAAGAGTGCGTTGCGCCACGAGGTGAGCATGACGCTGCTGGGCACGGACTTGGAGAGCTGCTCAGAGTGCCAGCCGTCCGCCATCACCACGTTCGGATACCGAGTGCTCAAGATGAACGGCAGCAGTGCCAGAAACTACACCTACCAGAATGTACGTTAATTTTCATTTACAAGTCGTCTGCCATGTGTGTGTTGCGATTGTTGCCCTGAGGGGTCTAGATTCTTAGCACACGGTACCACACTGAACATTGGTTCCAGTCAGGCTAGCTCAGTTTTCATTAGTTTAGTAATCGCGTTGTTTTCGAGAAGTTGTCGCACCGAGCGTATGAAGGAGTGTAAAAAAAAAATGCATTGTAGTGAAGCTTTTCTGCTTTTTTTTTCTTTTTGCTCTCAACTTTTTTTTTTTTCATGACTGCACAATACGCTAACCGTTCGATATGAACCAATTGGCCTACTGCCCTCTCCGCCCTTTCAATAAAAGCTCCTACTGCTTCTACTGCCCTCCCCGCCCCATCAATAAAAGATAAACCTATGTACACCTATGTGCCGAGCTATTGTACAATATGCGATTGCACAATAGCTATTGTACAATATGCAGGTGGGCTCTTTCTTCAAGAACGTGCTGTTTGTGGACGACGGCCAGGTGGACTTCTTTAGCGGCGTGGCGCCTATGTCGACTTGCGTGCGCGACTGCGACGAGCGATGCCCGGCGTCCAGCGCAGCTGTGGGTGTATCTACGGACAATGAGTACCTGCGTCAGCACCGCGAGTCCCTGGCAGCCAATTTCCGCACTGTGTGGGGCATCGTGGTTACGGCACTGTCTCTGCTCGGCATGGTGCTCGTCATCATCTGTGCACTCTACTTCCTCATGGCGTTTCCCGTCACGGTGGGCACCACCGTCCTCGGCTACATGATTTTGGTGAGCATGTGGCACCCGCCACCTCAACAATTTATCGGATGATTGATTATCCGGAGAACCCGCTGCTGTGGACTAGTGCTCGACATGCTTACCAGAAAGGCATGGCATTGAATCCTGACCGCAGCGGCTGCATTTGGACGGAGGCGAAACGCCACAGACCCGCGAACTTAGATTTCAGTCCTGGAGATTTCCTGGAGTCCTGGAAATTTCAGTCCTGGCACTGTGTGGTTTCTATCTGTGCCTTCTCTTGTTCGTGTTTCGCTTAGTGCTACATCAAGTTCTTTTAGATTTCAGTGCACACTTACGAACCCTAGGTGGTCTGAATCTTTCGGAGCCCTCCACTACAGCGTTCCCCGTAATTACACTGTAGTTTTGAGACGTAAAATGCCAGCCATTATTATTGATACCCAACTGAATATCATCATTACTGTGACATCATCCATAGTTTATTTTTGTAAACTGCGCACTTCAGTCTTAGATCCGTGAAAATTGAAGCGTTCGACATTATCTTTATTTTTAACCAAGGACATCAGCATTAATAATCACCACTATGATTCATGAACCTGTTATATTTCGCTGATTAATATTTTGTTGAATCAATCACTCTGGTGAAGGTAAGCTTTCGTAACTGAACACATTGTAATTCGCTTTGGTTATTAGTGAGAGATTACATATCACAAACAGGAAGTCCCTGAAGCTGGCACACTGTGCCAATACTGCACCGCATATGTTTATCATTTCACTCTTTTGAGAATGCATTTTCAGTTAATGTTGTATCCGAAGCACTTCCAAGCAATAGCCACTGTAGCGTGGAGTGTACTCAACAATTTTTTCAGGCATCAATTTCAGCACACACTTGTTTTGTCTGTGTCTTTCCTCAGAGCCCATCACCGTGACCTGTACGAACACTGCAGCCCTTTCAATGGCGTTAGCTGGCAAGGTCAGAGCTGCACACCAGAAACAGACAAATGCTTTTTAACAGCACATTGTCCGAATTGTAATTCATGTTAAAATAACCGCTGCCATGTAAAAAGTGCCAAGGTGTAACCCACATTGTGGATCAAACCAGTCATGATCACATATAACTTGACCCATCAAAAAATCGGGAATACAGTTAAACCTGAATGTAACGAAATGTACCAATTTTCGGGAAATGTGTTATAAAGAAAATTTTGTTATATGAAGGTTCAGTATGAAAATTTGAAAAATAAACGCACAAATTAAACAACTGAAAGCAGAGTTAACCCAAAACACTTATTTAGCGGTAAAGACCTGCAATATTATTTGTGATAGCAATTGTATGGATACCCTCGGTGGGTTCTTGCCATCTCATTCATGTTTCGCAACAAGTTCAAATCGATTACATACATGCACCCACGCATCGTAACCTTTACAACCTTTACGAGCGGGTAAAAGCACGCGAGTGCTGCTGAAGCAAAGGTCGAATGAACCGGCACATCTTTATCGCCTGGGAGCCATGCGCCATAACATCCCCCCACGTGTTAGAACTGCCTTTGGATGCTCATACAGAAACCAAACCGCCAGTTTTGCAGAGCATAAAAAAAAAAAAAACGCAGGGGGTGGGGGTCACTCGAGTAGCAATGGTGAACTTTGATGTTAAATGCGTGGTCGGGATCGCTGGCGCGCGAGCAATCTCGGCAATCATCAGTTCGCTTTCAACGTGAAGAGACTGTGTGAAAAGAGCACTTCTCACTAAAGCGGCCGTATTTGCTTACACCAGCGCCGTCGTGTAGTTGCCAGATCTAATCGGCTAATCGGGAAGGCTACGTCCTTCTAACTCGCGGTGCAAACGGAAACGCATGATGAGTCGACTTCCCAAGATTCGTCGTCACCGTGGCCTCGGAGAGTTCCTATCAGCACCTAATCTGACACCTCCCCTCTGTAGTGATGACACAGCTGTCCGCATTCTAAGAGAAAAAATCACAGCATATTCACGGAGTGAATGATGAGTGAGGCGAAGCGTCCGTCAGCCCGTTCGCCCTTCCGTTTGTCAGCGTGACCACCTGTGCGTCAATCCATGCGTTCGTTCGTCTGTCCATGCGTCTGTCCGTAAGTCCATCCATCCGTCTAACCATCCGTTCGTGTGCCCATCCGTCCGCGTGTTCATCTATCTGTCTGCTAGTCTGTGTGTCCGTCCATCCGTCCACCCGTCCGTGTGTCCACCTAGTGAACACTCAAGTACCGCCATCTCCCCTCTCGCAACCACTGTGGCACATACTGTGCCGCCAGTGGCTGTGAACATACATACATACATATGTACATAAAACATACATACGTACGTACATACATGCATACATACATACACAGGTACGTACGTACATACATACATATATACATACATACATACATACATACATACATACATACATACATACATACATACATACATACATACATACATACATACATACATACAGAGGAGGAGGAGCGACAGACCCATGGCATAAGGAGCTTCGCCCATAATAAAAAAGCACACCTGAACATCGTCGGAGGCCACGCCATATGCGCGCAGTGAAACCATGCACGCATGCATGGCCTTGAAAGGGACACGGTTACTGCGAAAAACTATTTGCTAAAGCACCCTTCATATCTATCGCGGCCCCACATATGTAACGCTATCTAGAAGTGTGACACTGCCAACGTGCAGAAGTAGTTTTCCATTTCTTGTTTTCTGTGGTTTGGAAGCGGAGGGCGTATCTGCGCATGCCCTCGTGGGAGCAAGAACGGCCGCAACGCTGGCTTGTGTGGCGCAGGCCCGCCTGCCCGCCGCCTCGTGCACACTTGAAGTTGCCGGGGCCACGAGCAGGCTGCCACCGCTTCACGCTTCAGCGGCGGCGGGCCGACCACGGAAGATGCATGCTCATGCCAAAATGACAAAATCCGAGGCAAAATTCCTACATCGTCCGTGATGAAAATTCGTTATATCAAAGTTGTCTCCCGCCGTTACCGTATTTACTCAATTCTATCGCGCCCTCGATAGTAACGCGCACCCAGTTTCCACGACGAAAAAAAAAGTAAGACATCGATTGCAACACGCACCAATTTTTCTCGTTGGCCCGCACAATCACACCACTCAGGAAAACAACTCCTTTCGGGAGCATATTCCGTTTAAATCTGAGGTACAGGGGAAGCTTGTGCCTATTTGACGTGCAACGAAGCATTGCCGTCACTCCAGTTTTACCGTGGCCCAATGTCAGTGCATGAACTTGCTTCACCCCCATCTTCTCGACGGTTGTGGTGCCAGGCATGTTGAAGTAAAGAGGCGTCTGATCGGCATTCCCAATTTGGCCAAGCAGGTAGCCGTTGTTGTGCCGCAAGTTTGGGACGAACCTCTGAAAACTGTGAAGCTTTTCATCGTACTCCTCCGGAAACTTTTCGCATATGTCCGTTCGCTTTTGGAGGGGAAAGCCTTTCCTCTTCATAAAGTTAGTTAGCCAGCACCTGCTCGCTTTAAACTGGCTCTGCATTAGCCCTTTTTCTAAGGCTAACTGCATAGCCTGCACTTAGAGCAGTTCTGTCGTCCATGGCCGCTGTGCCGCTCACTGCTCAATCACATACTCGCTGAGCAGCGCTTCAATTTGCGGAAACCGACCATGCTGTGGTCCACTAAAGCCTTTGCGTGAATCTTTGCTGTCGACAATCTTCTGCTTTTGTTTCCCCCAGTCCCGCACGCACGTTTTGGGAACTCCGAACGACCGCGACGCGGCCCTATTTTTTAAAATTTATTTTATTTAACAATACTGCCAATCCCGTCAAGGATTTTCACAGGAGTGGGTTGGAAAGTGTCAACAAACATTCTATATTCACATACTTATACAATTGTATGGGTACCAAAAAATTATGGTATAAAATGATAATAATTATGGACCTACATTATTAACGAGGCACATGTCTCAGTCACATGTGCACACACTGAAAAAAAAAACACGAAAAAGAAAGAAAAAGGTAAGCACGCAACATACAAAGTTGGTACCGACTTCCACCTCTTTTAACCACAAATGTACTGGCATTTCTGTTCGTTTCGGCACACGCGATGACTTTTCTTTTAAAAGCGACATTGTGGTGCACTCTTTGAGTTTTTTGAGTGGGCTCTTCCATGCAGTCGGTGCTAATGCACTACAAGATGACGAAGTCCTCAGCACACGTACGAAGTGCCGCACATGGGAAACACATAGGCAGAAATGGCCGGCGCGGCATGCCAACGCACGTAAGGGGCGTCCATTTTGGAAATGCTGATGGCAATAAAATGACCGTATTAACTTTTTTTTTACGTGCTCGATTATAACGCGCATGCGATTTATGAACTCGCTTAACCGGAAAAAAGGTGCGCGTTAGATTCGAGTGATTACGGTACTTTGTTACATAGAGGTCGGAATTGCAAGTGCTCTTACAGAACAAACGCGGGACACAAAAGAACTTCGTTGTATTGAAGAATTTGTTATGGAGGTTCGTTATAAGCAGGTTTAACTGTACATGCTGGAAATAGATCCCTCCTGTATGCTACATTTTTCCACTCCGTCTGTTTGAAGTCGATATTTGGGATTGTGTAAATTTTTCGTAATGCTAATAACGCACCACTTTCCACAGTTTGAGAAACTACAGTACAATCGGACAATCATATAAGTTGTGTACCACATACCATTCTGAAACACCGAACCTATATAGATGCTATACTTTTGTAATTGTAGATTCTGTGCACCGATTGTCTATGTGAGTATCGTAGATGATGTCACTCTCAGTTCGAGTGCTCGCGTGCTCTGCTCATTTGTTCTCTATAGTGCATGCGAGTGTTCTGGTTTCGTGCCTCAACAATGTTCAGGTCGGCTTGCTGGCCCTGTACGCGGTGAACTTCGCCTTCGTGGTGGGCGCCACCGAGGCAACCTGCGGGGTGCGCCGCTTCCTGATGGGACTCGCCTACTCCATCGTCTTCTCCGGCATGCTCGTCAAGGTGCTCAACACGTGGCGCCTCATGGGATACCACCAGCGCATGCACCACGACACCACGCAGCTCAGCAGCCCCGCCGGACTTCTCGTCATCGCCTGCGGACTCGTCGTCATACAGGTATGTGCCATCACCTGTGTCCGTATTCAGCTTCTCAACGGTATTTGGGGGAGAAGGGGATGGTCAAGGATGAACGACATGCTTCTGTGCAAGCAACAACTTGTGTTCACGGCTGTCCTCGTAAACTCTATTGCGACAACTTGAATGTGCAGAAAGTTGAGGCTTATGTATATTGCGGGTTATTAGGGTTACTCCAAGATGAGTAAACTCTCATGGCCTCTAGACATAAACAGTTTGCTTTATCGATTAATGATTAGCTAGACTTCAGATTTATGACATGACGCTCTGTCCGGGGGATGACTTATCGTTAACGCTGGCAGCCAGCTCTTGCTCTTGTGTATTTTCTTTCCCGCAGGTTTTAAGTAATGACTACGAACGCTGTGAAACTGGCTGTCCCTCAGGCACCTTTTCCATTTATCTATGCCTACCTCTGCCGTTTTAGTATGCTTTTGGTAGCGGCGGCACATATAGCTTCGTGTGGTAATCTGGGAGAAGTGCAACCTGCAGAACGAAAGCCTTCAAGATCGAGAGGCTTGCGGAGCGTATATTAGAGCGTTTAACATCTTTTCTGGAATGGCACATGTGCTCTGGCAGTGAAAAAAAGGTGGAAAGTTAACCCTTCTCAAGCCCATGACTAACAAGTATTGAATGCCCTGCTCTGTTTCCTTTGCGCGCAGGTCGTTCTGACGGCGGCGTGGCTGGTGCTGATGCCTCCTCGTATTGGCTTGTATGAGCGCGTGTGGCGCTGCGCTCCTCCCGCATCATTCGAGGACGAGCTCGTGGTCTCCATGGTGTACGTGATGCTCCTGCTCGCAGTCACCATCCTCTTCTCGGTCCTCACATGGCCCTGCAGAGAGAACAACGGCGAGTCGCGATGGATACTCGCCTGCTGCGTCTCCGTCGGGCTCGCGTGGCTCGCCTGGACTGTGCTCGGCACACAGGTCAGTGTTTAGAGGCTATAGTGTGTCTTGGAATATTTCAACGCAGCGATTTTGGTTTGTGTGATGGTGTGTCTGTCGCACGATTTAGCCACCGGGTGAAAGTTTAAGCATTTTCTCAACATCCAGCCATTGTGACTTTCTGGCTGTGTTGATACTTGTGAACATTGTTAATGAAAAAGCAAGTGTTACGCATATTTGAGGTAATATAGTGCATAAGTATTAGGTGGTGTGTGTCTCTATTTTTGAAATGGATAGATATGTAATTCTAAAAACCACAGTGCTTATTACGCTGCGCTGACAATTCAACGCTATGAATGAAGGGAGTGTTTCCTACAGGTGCGTAACCAGATATATATATATATCTTTTTTTCGTGGGGAGTGGGGCACCTTGATTTCGAGGAGTGCACCCCCTTGGAATGGTAATTTTTTTTCTTCTATGCCACGGCGAAAAAATATTTGGGAAGGGAGGGGGTAGGGGGCCCGGGCCCGGTATGTAAATGACCTTCTGTCTACGCCTCTAATTTTCTACGCTTCGCTAAAGTGACTTGGTGCAGCCACCTACCAGTGGCCGTGCGTTCTAGAAAAAACTTTCATTTCTTGAAATTACTGAGAGATGGCATCCATATCTCATGCAGTGCCTTTAGATAGATTAGTTTTTCTACGATTTTCGCTAGCGAAGCATGCAGTATGCGGACAGTTTTTACTACCTGAAGATCCCTTCAAAACTGGTTGTTCATCTACACTGCCTTGTTAATAGCTAGCGCAAACTTGGCAAAAATTATTTTAAATTGAAAGTAAGGGTTGTACAATGATTCTCTCCAGATCTGTTGCTAGGAACTTACTTTGGAGCGTGTTCGACACAACCCTATATCTAGACGACAGTTATAGCACGAGAACAAAACAACGACACAGAGACAAGAAGGACACGAAAGACACGAGCGCCAACTTCCAACTGAGTTTATTGCGCAGAGCGCGAAAATATATACAAAGAGTAGAACATGAGTAAGAGAAAAACAAAACCCAAAAACAAAAGCACAGAAAAAGGCAAAGCAAAATCTATGAGAAAACGAAACAGAAAAATAAAGATATTATAACTACTTCTCGCGCTATAACTATCGTCGTGCCATACCAACTAGCCCAAGCTGCCACACTCTTATATCTAAGCTTGTGCTTTTTGTTGTGTGTGGCTTGGAAAGTATTAGCTGTTGTCAAGTCACATGAGCAGGTGCGGACTTGCCGCTGCTCTGGCGCATGCTAAACCTCCTCTGATAATCAACGCCTAATGGGCAATCATGTTCGTCGGCCTGTTTTAATGCTGAGATTGCGGAATTTTATTTTCACCTTTCATCTTTGTATTTTTGAGATCTGCCTGCAGCAAATCCTTACATTCCCATTATTATCCCTGATGCGTAGTCACTAGCCCTTTATGCTTATTTCTTGTACTGTGATGCAGAACGGTCTCGACAATAGCACTTCGATTATTGCAGAATTACATCATGTGTAAAAGCGAGCTGATCATTGAAAGCACAAGTAGAACACAGATTCCAAAGACTACATGCAACAGTAAAAAAAAGAAAGCAGCGGCGAGACATAACAATGCACGTTTGGATGCTGGCATCCGCACAAACACTGACGACACACTGGCGTGCAACCGCAGCTGCCGATGCGCTACCGGGACGCGACCATTGCCGTGGCGAACCTGGTGTGCGCCACCCTGGTGATGCTGTGCCTGTACCTGAGGAAGGTGTACCTGTACAACAAGCTGGCTCGCCAGGCCCGTGACCAGGAGATTAAGGCGCGCCTGCAGCCCAGGGGTCCTCCTTACACGCCTTCCGTCTACGGAACGCTCCACAAAGCCACACCAACAGTAGCACCCGTCTTCTACGGTGAGTGCGTACGTGTGCAGGATGCGTTGCTGCTACGTTCGTACTTGGCCACTTGAACATGCGCCTTAGGGTCATTTACACTTCTGCCTCACGGCTGCTCACCCAGTGCAGGCAGCCTTCCCTGCATCTCTCAAAGACTGCTCACTTCAAGCAGTCAATACGTGACGGGCGGAGAGCCATTTGCCTTGTGCAAAGTGGGCATGAGCTCGAGCGTAAAGTGTACTTCACGGTATAGATCTTACTCAAGAGTATATCTAGGTGCATCCCCTAAGAATTTTTATCAGAAAACAGTGATGTGTATTCCTTGACTATAAGTCTAATACTGGCTGATATCAACTAAATTGTGGCAAAGTCATGTTGGTAGAAACTTAATGGCGGCTAAATGTCGCCAAATGGGGGCTAAATGGCAGCTGATTTTGGTTATTTGTGGCTATTTGAATTATGAAGTTTTAAAGTTAGATAGGCTACTCCTTGGCATAGCAGCAACGCTTCATAAAGACATCAAAACTGAACATCTGTTTCGTTGTAACACGTGTGTCTCTGGCCATCTGCTCTTGCATATAGAGGCAACACATTGGGTGGGCTCTGTCTGGCTTTTTTTTTTATAGCGAAAGCTATTATCAGATCACAACACGGGTTACGCGCAGTTACATGCTGCCCGTCGCCGCTCTCAGTGTCCGTAACCACATCACGCAAAATGAGGAAAGAAAAAACCTTGCACCAATGACACAGTGGGGCTTGAACCTGGGTCCGCTGGGTGCTAGCCCAATATTCTACCACTGAGTTACGCCGGTGCTTGTGACTTGTTTTCAAACTTGCCTTAGGCAGGCTTGATGTCAGGAAAGCAATCACGTTAATACGACTTATAAAGCATTTTACAACAGTGAAAGAACAACCAGTCGTCACACAATGCGATTAGCATAACGAGTGGGCCATCTGATGCTCCAACCCACTACAAAAGCTTGTTTTTGTTTCCCTATTAACTGTGGTGCATACCCACTTCAGCCGTAATTCCTCATCATCGTCAGCCACTGCATGGACATTTGGAACAAAATTCCTAGCAAGTGTTTAGGGGATACCATGCTTCTCAGAAGAGTGACGAAAAATTGCATAGCGAATGCCGGCCTACTACTTAAAAGTTTATTATGAATGCCCTAGTGGATACCAAGGAAGTGTGCTTGCAGCGGTTACCAAATGAGTGTTTTTAAAAGGCTCTGAAAAGCCGCTTTTCTAGATTTCGCTGTAACTGTGCTGCACCTACCACACAGGCCTGCCTGGCAGTGATCTTTTTCTTTCGTTGAACTTGCCCTGTTTACCGCGTGCTGACGAAAGTCAGTGCGTCGGAAGATGAAGCAAGAGTCTGGGGAACGAATCACAATGGGCACATTGTACAATCTCGTCTACAGCGTGTCCAGTCTCCCGTGTACGTTTTATTATTGAGCAAGGTATCAAGGCAACAAGAACATTGAGCCAAATTTGACTGGACTTCGCAGGTTCTCAGGGCACGCTGACTACAAGCAAGAAGCTGAATGGCCAGTTCTCACGACTGTCGACTGACGACCTCGCGTCGGACGGCTCCGGCTCGGTGCAGGTGCAGGGTGCCGACCTGTACCCTCTGGAGATGTATGACGGAGGCAGCCAGTTCCAGCCGCCGAGCTCCCTCTACGGGAGCATGATGATGCTCGACGACAATGTCGCGTACGCCAGGTACGTGGGCTGCATCCACTGTATGTGCACATTTATTGTGCTGATAAAAATAAGTTCAATGAGTTATCACAGGTAGAGATGCTGGCAGCATGCAGAGGAACCTCACAGAAAGAGAACTGACCTTGTTTAGATGCGTACTTTTACAATAAAGGGCCGCTCTCTATGCCTTCATCGCAAGTGTCGCCCATGTTCTGTGTGGGTGAACCTGTTTAAATGCACCAAGATAAGAGAGAGAGGCAGTTTTGCTCCCACGACATTATTCTCGAGTGGGACTTCTTCTCAAGCCATAGCGCCATCATAGACTGCTCTCCTGCAGAAGTCGCCCTTTTGTCATTAGAGACTTTTCTTTTAAAGCACCCTCCTCACAAACTTGTTGTCATTGAGGACACAGATATTCCCTGCATACACGTGGACCCTTCTCGCCTTAACAGTGTATGACTGCACCGGATGGGGCAGCACTCTTCACTCCGCCGAAGTCTTCCTCCATCACCGCGGCTTACGACTGCCCTTTGCAGTACTCTTGGTCCAGTCTATCACGACGATAATGCACTCTATCGACTGGATACTCGCCATTTGTCAGAGCAAAGAATTTTAGGACACTGGTCAAGTCTGATCTCCGTGCAGAAGGCTTTGAAAACATTATTACGTTTCTTAGGGAGAACTAGCCTTAAAGACAGCCTTTACGCAGTGTTCTATTCTTTAGTTTATATTTGCTTTGCTTGCTGTTTTTATATTTTAGTTGCTCGTAACATTTTTTTCTTATCATCTTTTATTATTCTTACCCCCTTCCCCAGCACATGGTTCCCAGCCGGTCTTCTGAGAACTGGCTAACCTCCCTATGATTATGCTTGTTACTTCGTCGCTCCTCCTTGGTCTCACGTTTGCTGTAGTAATGTGCCGTACGTTAGTAGCGCTTTTCAGAAGGAGTCTTTTAAATCAGCTTATTAACGGAGGCCACGCCGCAAGGAGGCAAGTGTCTTTTTTGCCTTAGTGAGTGTTTGCTTGCAGACCCTTTTTGCTCCTTCGCCATGTGCAGTAACACAGGTCTGTACACATATTACGGCTAATGTAGCTCGAGCACACACCTCACTGCACGCTACCAATGTCCCTCGAACTCCATCCATCTCCCTTTCATTCTGTTTACGCTTTCCTCTACGTACATTAGAAGGCTAGGCAAAATGTCCTCCAGCTGCTGTCTGGTGGTTCGTACGTTGCAGTGGTCAGCTTTCATATCATCTAACGTACCCTTCTTTGTTTTTCTGACTCCAGGTGAGGTCACCCAAGCTGACCTCTAGTTCCTCAGGACCTTTTACAAGACCTCCTACTACCCCACAAGCCGGTCACAAGTTGTTCGCCTAGCTCACGAACAAGCATCGAGGAAGCGAGCGAGCGGGCGGGCCATTGAGGCTTTTGCCATTGCCAAGTAGTGGTCGCCCACCCGACTGCCGCACTGCTGAACGATGTCGAACGCTTTGCTAAGCTACGATGTTTCCTTCGATCGTTGTTGTGCTGCCTGTTACTTAACCCATCCGCCAGCAGTGGACGCAGTGCAGGAAAAAAGACATTTGCGCTACTTACTTTTTAGGTTGCCACCAGCCTACGTCAAAACCCGCGCGAGTGCTCAAGAGAGTGCAGTGTTGTAACCTTCTCTGTTCACGGTGGTTCACGAAGAAATCAAAACGATATGTCGAAGAAAGGAAATGACGCGTCATCACCTGTACAGTGCTCGTTAATTATTTGTGTACGTGTTTCCGTAACATTGTTGTCTGTCCTATTGTGTTTTTCAAGTCTCACCCGAAATGCGAACTAATGCCAGATGCTCCAAGTGCCGCGCTGGATAGATTGCTTGAGCAGCTTCCTTTTTTTTTTTAGCTTGTTAGCTTTGCTGGAGAGTTGCAGTTTCTTTTATTATTATTATTCTTATCGTTCGACGTACTAAGTGCGATGTTTGCTCGCAGATAATCGCTGTCTTTCCTTCACAGATCATGTGTGTGCTCTGAATGGAGTATGATGAGCCAGAGATTCTTTCACATGCTTGTAACCTATGGCATCGGGAGAGACCGTAGTTGTAACAAAAAATGACGCGGCACGATAGGAAGGTTTCGTAAGTGTCATTCTACAACGAAGCAAGAAAACGAAATTGTCCTCGGTCGTGTCCATATCTTCATTTTGTTTGTTATCAATCAAGACTCTAGAATTGACTTGTTTTTGCTCATATGCACTTCCGATAAGACAATGCGAAGACTTGATTCATGCATGCTCTTGTTTCGAAAGTATTCGCAAGTTATATGTGAGCCCGAGTCTTAATCGGAGAAAATTCGTCACTCGTTTTATGTACTCTACCAAGCGCTAGCATGGCTACTTTGTAACATACTGCGCGCAATCTCTCATGACCGCAATACATTCGTGTTGTGATACGCCAGGTCCAGATCCTGAACTTTAACGTGATTTCATGTGAAGACCATTTAACAAAGACTGAAAACAATACGACTCGAAACGTACACGGCAGTAACTGTTTATCGACGCCCCACACACCGGAAAAGCTCCACGGAACGTACAGGCTTCTGCCAAGCCGAATGACTTGAAGGCAGTGCCGTCTTTCTCAAATGACACCAGGTGCTATCTTTTTTTGTCTTTTTGCAGTGCGTGCAGCTTTGAGCTTGTAATCACTAAGGGAGATTTTTCTTCAACGGAATACCCATGGATTCCAATACATCTCTCTCAGGTCAGATCGTACACTGGAGTCACGTCTAGCAATCTAGAATTCGCAGGTATCTTGGGGGACAAAAGGACTTGGTCCTACTCACACCATTTAAAACATTTAACACTTTCTTCCGGAGCATTTACGTAACCACTAACAGTGACATCAACAAAACGGGCGTTGAGGCAAACGCACCACTGTCTATTCCAGTCTGGAGACGATCATCACGACCGCGGTATCAAAAAGACGTGCCGAAGTACAGGATCTGTAAAACGCGAGAGTTCATGTAGCTTGTGGCTTAATCTGCCTGCGAACCTTTGATCTGTGAGCACCAGCGATGTCGTGCGCGTGAAATGTCTGCAGTGAAATCGAACGGCTCCGCTATTGTACAGTGTTCAGAGGCCAAGTAGAAGAATGAAACGCAAAAAAGTGAAAGCTATTGTGCCGGTGACATCATTCGCTCCTTGCACCTCTCGTGGCTGGTCCAAGAGGTGCGAGGTGCAGACGTGAGCTCTAACATTCCATTTATAACCCGCGTTTTTATACATATACATTATACATACTACCATGCATGTTTTTTCCTTCTATTTTCCCTCTACACGACTGTCTCGTTTCGAAACTATGCACAGCAGTATACATCTAGTATGTGCGTATGGTGTGTACACACTTATGAACATGGACCTCTAACTAGCAGTGGTCATTTTGTGTTCCCGTGGATGGAGAAAGTGAAATTTTTTCTCCTCTTTATTATTTTTTTTTGAAATTGTCAAATCAGGTGTGGTTGTTTCTTCACATGCATGCTTAGAGGATATCGGACACATGTCGCATGCATGCTTTTGCCCATCGTGCTTTTTTGTCCCTGTTGTGCTTGTATCTGTCAGATCCCTTCCCAAGAAGAGTGCCTTTCATCCAGTGTTTCCAGCTGTTAGAGTTGAAATGGCTAATATCTCGACGGTTTTTTCGTCCACTCTACTGTCGCCTTGAATGAAAATAAAACCGTTTTTCCTCCACGTTCAAAATGGCGTACTTCTTTTTAATCTGCAAGTTGATGTCGGTGAAACATCAGCGAGTAGTGTTACTGGATCTTTTCTTTAATAAAAAAGTCGGTTTTGCAAAAAGGGCTGAGCAATGAATGCGATAGGAACATATTCGAATGTTTTACATAGCAGGACTAGCATATTTAGGAGCAGTAATAATTGTAGTAAACATGGGTTTGCTAAGTAATGAAGTTTCCTGCGGTGCGGCCACAGTAGATGACCACAACAAGGCACGTGTGTAGTGACTACCTTGATGAGAAGTGCCTCCTGTGGGCAGCGCATGCTGGTACAAGGGGCTATACATTGTGTGTTGCCACTCGTGGCAGTTTATTTGTATATAGAGTGCATCTATATGCGGACAGCCGCTCCAGGTACACATTTGGCACAGTTTTTTGTGTTGATAGCGCAGCCTGTAGAAGCTCCCACTTACTGTGGGGGCAAGAGCCATGGGCTGATAGTTGCTGCGATAGCGCTGTAACCATAGCTCCCCCCCCCCCCTTCCTTTGTTTGCTGACAAGATAAGCTTGCACACAGACGACCTAAAGGCGATGTACAACAATATATATATATATATATATATATATATATATTATATATTATAAAGGAGATTTATTAAGCAGAAAGGTTGATGCTTGGAAGGCTTGGAAGGCGATGCACCAGCCGCAATTTCCGAGCTCAAGCCGCTGCTGCACACTCGATGCTGCTGCCTCTGTGCCGGAGTACTTCCTCTTCTTTACAATGGCCCCACGGAGAAAAAAGGAGCCATCCTGGCGATTTAGTCCTGGGCAGGCGGCGTTGAACCATGGTATTGCTTGAGCCTCTGGACGTGTACAACCTCGCGGTTACGACGTCGCAAGTCTGGTGGTGGCGTAAGAGGTTCAATGAGGTAGTTTACTGGCGAAGTTTGTTCGACAATAAGATATGGCCCATCGTACTTTGGCAGAAGTTTGGAAGAGAGCCCAGGTGTGCGATGCGGCACTGACAGCCATACAAGAGAACCCGGAAGAAAAACGGGAGTTGAGGTCTGGGCATCATGAATTGCTTTTTGCCTGTTTTGGTCATCGCAGGTAAAGCGACGAGCTAACTGGCGGCATTCTTCTGCGTGTCTGGCGGCGTCCAAGATCAGTAGGCACTCGGACGCGTCTGGTCGATAGGGCAAAATGGTGTCAATGGTGTGGGAGGGGTGACGGCCGTAGAGGAGGTAAAAAGGGGAGAAGCCTGTTGTCGCTTGCGTTGCCGTATTATAGGCGTATGTAATGAATGGGAGAACTAAGTCCCAGTTAGAGCGGTCAGGCGTCACATACATAGATAGCATGTCACCGAGAGTACGATTAAAGCGCTCGGTAGCCCCATTGGTTTGTGGGTGGTAAGCGGTACATGTGCGATGTACAATAGCACACTCAGCGAGCAATTTTTCAATGACCTCGGATAAGAAGGCGCGGCCGTGGTCACTGAAGAGTTCTTGAGGGCCTCCATGACACAACACAAAATGACGCAGTAGGAAAGTGGCAACCTCCTGTGCTGTAGCCGTTTTAAGAGCAGCGGTCTCAGCATAGCGCGTTAGGTGGTCGATAGCAACTATTATCCACCTGTTGCCAGTCGGAGTCAATGGAAGTGGCCCATAAATATCTATTCCAACCCGTTCGAAGGGTCGGGAAGGGCATGGTAAAGGCTGCAGTTCACCGGCGGAGGCGTGTGGTGGAGATTTTCGGCGCTGACATTCGGCACAAGAGCGGACGAAGTTGCGGACGAAGGTATACATGCCACGCCAGTAGTAGCGATGTCGAAGCCTTTCGTAGGTCTTGAAGACTCCTGCGTGGCCACAGTGTGGGTCAGCGTGAAAAGAACAAATCTGCGACCTCAGGGTTCGTGGAACGACGAGCAGCCACTTGCGTCCCTCTGGTGCGTAGTTACGTCGATAGAGAAGCGTGTCACGTATCGAGAAGTGTGGAACTTGGCGCCGAAGCGTTCGCGTCTTTGGGAGTTCAGAAGTGTCGGAGAGATGATTGAGGAGAGACGCAGTCCACGGGTCATTGCGTTGTTCGATAGCAATGGTGTCAAAGTCAAGCGATGACAATGTGGAATCGCAAGCGGAGTCAGCTGTGGCATTCTGGGACAGGGGTGAACGGGAAAGGGCGTTGGCGTCAGCATGCTTCCGTCCTGACCGATAACCCACGCGTATGTCGTAATCTTGAATTTTCAACGCCCAGCGAGCGAGGCGGCCAGATGGGTCTTGCAACGTCGAAAGCCAGCACAGCGCGTGGTGGTCGGTCACGAGGTCAAAAGAACGACCATATAGATATGGGCGAAACTTTCCAAGGGCCCACTCAATGGCCAAGCACTCCTTTTCTGTGACGCTGTAGTTGCTCTCAGCCTTGGTAAGTGTGCGACTAGCGTATGCCACGACGTATTCCTGATGTTCCGGTTTACGCTGTGCGAGCACAGCACCCAGGCCTACACCACTGGCGTCGGTGTGGATTTCAGTTGGAGCGTCAGGATCGAAATGGCGTAGAATGGGTGGCGTCGTAAGAAGCCGTCGCAGGGTGGTGAAAGCCTCGTCGCAGGCAGGGGACCACGATAAGAGGTCTTTACAGCTGCTGAGAAGTTGCGTGAGAGGTGATATAACAGACGCGAAGTTTCGGACGAATCGCCGGAAATACGAACACAAGCCGATGAAACTTCGAAGTTCTTTGATGGTGGCAGGTTTAGGAAACGCCGTAACAGCTCGCAATTTCTCGGGATCCGGGAGGATGCCTTCCTTGGAAACAACGTGGCCCAAAATGTTCAGTTGACGCATGGCAAATCGACATTTTTTGAGGTTTAATTGCAAACCGGCGTTAGTTAAGCAAGTAAGGACGTGCTGAAGGCGACGTAAGTGTGTGTCAAAGTTAGGGGTGAAGACCACGATATCATCGAGGTAACACAAGCATATCTTCCATTTTAGTCCACGCAGGATGTTGTCCATCATTCGTTCAAACGTTGCAGGTGCATTGCAAAGTCCGAAGGGCATGACGGTGAATTCATATAAGCCGTCTGGCGTGACAAAAGCGGTTTTGGGGCGATCGACCTCCACCATAGGCACCTGCCAGTAGCCTGACCGCAAGTATAACGAGGAAAAGAACTCGGCACCCTGCAAACTGTCCAAAGCATCGTCAATGCGCGGTAGTGGATAGACATCCTTCAGCGTGATCTTGTTCAATCGCCGGAAATAGACACAGAAACGAATAGAACCGTCTTTCTTTTTGATGAGAACCACCGGAGACGCCCATGGGCTCTGTGAAGGTCGAATGGCGCCTCTGCGAAGCATGTCGTCTACTTGATCAGCAATGACGCGGCGTTCTGTAGCGGACACGCGATATGGTCGTTGTCGCAGCGGTGAGTGGGACCCAGTGTCGATGTGGTGTTCTACTGCTAAGGCACGGCTGAGAGATGTTTGTTCAACGTCGAAAGAGTGGCGGTAGCTCTCAAGAATGGTGAGGAGTTGTGAACGCTGCGAAGATGTCAAATCTGCAGCGATGAATGGTTGAAATATGTTTGCCGACGTTGAGTCAGGCGCTGAGACGACAGCCAGTTCACAGACGGAGGTAGAAGGCACCTCATCGGGGACGGATATAATTCTGGAAGAACTGATTGTCTCGACGTGGCCAAGGCACTCGTGACAAAGTAGGGATAAAGACGACGACTCATGATTATAAATTGGCATTGTGGTTGACCCTTCTACAAGATCGAGAGCAGCAAAAGGCAGGGGGAGAGCTCTTCGGGCGACGAATATTGGAGATGGTGTGAAGAAGACCGTGCCGTCGGATATGGCGCTGCATGAAACTGGCACGAACGCAAAAGAGCATGGAGGGATGTAGGTGTCATCGCTAACGACAAGTTTAGCGGCAAACTGGGTGTCGACGGACGCTTGGTCATCCAGTGAGCAAAATTCGACCTCAGCCCTAGCACAGTCGATTACGGCGTTATGACGCGACAAAAAGTCCCATCCCAAAATAATATTATGGGAGCATGATGAAAGAATCGTATACAGAACGTCCTGAATTGTCACGCGGGCTGTACATACTGCGGTCGGTTGAACAGGTTGAGCACTGGCTGTGCAAAGCGATAATCCGGAGAAAGGTGTCGTAACCTTACGAATTGAGCGACAAAATCCAGCATCTATAACCGAAACAGCTGCACGGGTATCTACAAGAGCGACAGTAGGGATATTTTCGACGAACACATCAATAACATTGGTAGGTGACAAATGAGGACTTGGGCAAACCGAAACTTGCGCAGTTCTTGCCTCAGGAACTGCGTCGTCTAGTTTTCCTCCTCGTTAGGTGCGGGCCGTCGACGCATAGGAGAAGGCGAGCGGCGGCGTGGAGAGGGCGAGCGAAGACGTCCCGGCCGAGGGCGGTGGTCGTCCTGGTAGCGGGCTGGCATTGGAGTGGAGGAACCGTATCGCGCGTTGAAGTCAAGCGGGAAGAAAGGCTCACGGCGGTTTTCATTGGTGATATGCGTCCGGCGGCGGCAATACCTTGCGACGTGTCCGGGGTATCGACAAGCGTAACATATCGGGCGATTATCGAGGGTGCGCCACGGGTTGGCGGTGTTAGTGCTGGTCCAGTGAACTGGAGCTGGGGGATAGCTCGCGCGAGGCTGGAACGGAGGCGCAGGCACCTTGCGAGTTGGCATGGCTGCAGCCGCGGCATAGGTGAGAGGAGCAGCCACAAGATTAGGCTCGCGAGCAGCTGGTAAGGCCTCGGCGACCTCTCCTTTAATGACGTCACGTAGAGACGATGGTAAAGTTGTGGTAGCTTCTGGTGTGAAAGGCACCAAGGAAAGCTGTCGTGCAACTTCTTCGCGGACAAATGCTTTTATTTCGGCTATTAGTGACGCGTGGTCATGACCACTGATCACATTAGACAGCGATGCCAAATCGTGCGCTGGTGGACGTCTTGTCAGAGCTCGCTGCTTCCGCAATTCATCGTAGCTTTGGC